GCCAAAATCTCTTCAGCCATATTTAATTTTCAAGGGAACTTTAAGATGTTTCATTTGAACTCTAGTGAAAATTCTTTTTGCTTTTTAGAAGAATTTTAATTGCAACTTAGGCCTCTCTAGAATAGAAATGGTAGTGATTACATGAATGAAGAATACAGAATTGTTTATTTTATATTTTGTTTTTAGGTTATTATTTTAATTCACTTGAAGACATTTTAATTAAAGAAACCTTAGTAGTTTAGAGTTACTGATACAAAGATGTTCTTTTGCCAAATTATTAGGGTTTTTCTTCCCAAGACTAAATCTTACTATTTACATTGCCTATTTCAGTATTAATTTTCATGATTTTTAAAAAATACGGATTTGTGTGAAATAACTACTAGGAATAACACATATCATTTTACCTTTGTTTAGGATTTCAAATTTAATTTCCTCATTGGTTATTTTTTTAAAGAAATGAGGAGAACTTGATCATATGTTTAAATTGGTGTAATAAAGGAACTTTACTATCCACTTACTTGAAGAAGGAACTATAAATTCTAAAACTGTGTGTGAATGTATTGTATCTGTATTGCACATCCAAATACATTCCATTTGAATGATGATACAGAGTTTGAAGTAAATATGGTTTGCTATATTTCCATAAATAGCAGTCAACTCTATCCTTTTGAATATAGAGAATATGGGCTTAGTAGGCTGCAATTTCAATTCATTTTCTGACTCTACTTCTTCGTAAAATACCACATAATTTATTTGGCCTCTTGTATCCAGATGTTGTAAAATTTGCTGATACTTTTTGGAAACAGCCATTATCTGGATTAATAAAACCTATAGGTAATCAGCAATCTATGTCAGTTCTAGTTTCAACCTTTCCTTCTAAAATATACTATTTATTCACAATTTTTGGTAGGTATTACTATGGACTAACATAAGTTTTGTTTTCTTCCTCCCTTCCTTTCTATGACATCCCTAAATCCTCAAATCCTACCTAAAAGGCAGTAATGATATGGTCAGGATATTCATTAACTAAATAATTATTCTCAACTAATTTATAGTTGATTCAGAGAAAAATTTTGCAATTTTAAGAGGGTGTGGGGGCCAGTGTGAATGTCCTTGGCAAACACTTTGATGGAGTATAATGTCATCATCTTGGAACATTATCTCTTAGGCTTTTTTACCAAATGACCGTTATTGTAGTTCATTATTCAAAGAAACAATTAGAAATGAATACATGTATATTTTAGAGAATTTATAAAAATGAAAAGTAGAAAAAAATAGTCTATTATCACTTTTCCCAGAAATAACCAATAGTAAAATTTTAATGTAATTAATCTTAATGTTATTTTCCATTCATGGGGACTGTTCTTTTTTTTAAATAAAATTGTGTATTTTGCATATTATCATGTATTCTTTTATTTTTTTCCTGTATTCTTTACCTTTTGCCTTTTTCATTAACTCTTAATAATCTCTCTCTTTTTTGGAAGATTTTATTTATTTATGTATTTGACCGAGAGAAAGACTGTGAGAGAGGGAACACAAGCAGGGGGAGTGGGAGAGGGAGAAGCAGGCTTCCTGCTGAGCAGAGAGCCCGATGTGGGCCTCAATCCCAGGACCCTGGGATCATGACCCGAGCCGAAGGCAGACGCTTAACAACTGAGCCACCCAGTCGCCCCTATCATTAACTCTTGAAGAGAGTATTTTCAGTGGCTGCATATTATTCTATTCTAAGAATTTACCATAACTGGCATACCATTGTTTTGTTGAGGATGTTAATGTTTACTTTTTACTATTACATAACTTTACTACTTTGAATACTTCTTGAATATTTTTGCAATCTTTAAATTTCTAATTGTTTAGAAGAGAACTTTCAAGATTTATCCATTTAAAGAAAATGAATACTTTTAATACTTTTGATTAAAATTAGTTTGCCTTCTGGAAAAGTTTATTTACATTTGCTCTTGCACCAAGAAACAAGAAAGTCCAGGGGGTTCAGTTTCACCATGTGCATCAAACATAGGATATAATAATGCCAACTCTGCCAAGTTGAAAATATTTTGTTAGTAAATATGTAATCATTTTTTATTGTTTCCCTAAGCAATTTTCTGAAACATTAGCTTTTGATTTTTTACAAATTTTTTTTTAAAGAAATTTTTGCTTGAAAGGGAAATACCATGCAATTGAGATAATTGTTTTATAATCACAGTCTTTTGGCAATTTGGTGTTTGTAATTAAAATCTATTCCACTGTCTCCCACACCCTATATCCTCCTTGAAAGTAATGCTATAAAGCTAAGGTAAATTTGGGACACTACTGGTTAGTCTTGATTTCTGTTATATCTTTTTTATCATCACTACTTTATTCAGAGACTGGAGTCAGGTAGAGGAGAATATGTGCTTTGTATCTGGATCCTTCTGTTGGCATGAGCCTTAAAACTGATGGAATGAAACATAAATTGACTCAAGAATGCAAATGACTTTCTGTTCTTAAGTGATCATATCTATTTAAAGAGACACCATATTTTTGTTGGAAGCAGATCCTGAGTCCATTGTAACTTCTGCTGAGACTGTAGGGTACCCCCATCATTGTTTTATCAGTTCTGAATCACGTCATACGTACTTAATCTAATCTTGGGTCACCAATTCTAAATGGGTATCTATGTGAAAAGGCAATACTTATAAAGGACACTTAGCACTTCCTTAGCTCTTCAAAAATGATTAAAAAAATGTATACTCTATTCTCAGAAAAAGCATTAGTTATTAAGGATGGTTATTTTCTCTTGTGGCTTGAAACACCAGGAATCATATTGAAAGTTTCTGTAATTCTAGAATGAAGGATGTCAGGACAAGGACTTTCCTAATTTCCCTCCCTTGAAACCAAGTCCAGCAAAACTTGGCTTGGGAATCTGTCAACTATATTATCATCCATACTATACAAAGTTATAACCATACTAAGCAAGAGCATCCTTTTCAGTCATATAATAAAATACATTTTTTATATTCCTATTTCTAATGAATTAATTTAATGAATTTCTAACTTTATATAATGAAACATTTTTTTTAAGTGTTTCTAACTAAAACCTTATATTCTTTTTTTTTTTTTTTTTAAGATTTTATTTATTTGACAGACCGCGAGAGGGGGAACACAAGCAGGGGGATTGGGAGAGGGAGAAGCAGACTCCCTGCTGAGCGGGGAGCCTGATGCGGGGCTTGATCCCAGGACCCTGGGATCATGATCTGAGCTGAAGGCAGACCCCTAACGACTGAGCCACCCAGGTGCCCCTAAAACCTTATATTCTTAAGATCTTCTTTTCTTTACCTAAATCTCTCATGATTCCTACCCATTAAAAATATTTGCTGAATGAATTAGTATACTGCCTTATACTATTATTTGTGTTCATGTCTCTTATCCCCTGCTAACCTGCAAACTCCTTAAGAGCACAGACTATGGAACCAGGTCACCTAGGTTCAGTCAGATTTTCCACATAGTAGCTCTGTGACCTTGTACAAGTTCCTCAACTGTACTGTGGATCAGTTTCCTCATCTATATTTAAAAAAATTTTTTTTATTAAGTAGGCTCCACGCTCAGCATGGGGCTTGAATTTACAACTCTGAGATTAAGAGTTGCATGCTCTACCAACTGCGCCAGCCAGATGCTCCTTCCTCATCTATAAAATGCTGATGACAATAGTAATTTACCTCTTAGGGTTATTATAAAGTTAAAATAAGTTAAGGTACATAGAGTTTAGAATATTTTGGCATATAGTAAGAGCTATAGAAATGTTTGCAATTAGGGTCATTAATTTTTAAATTATCCTTAGCACAAAGCAAATGGTTTGCACCTAATGTGTAATTAGTATATAATTTTTGTAATGAATGTTACAGTCTTTTCAAGTCTTTTAGGCTTGTTCTTCATCTTGTTTGTTCCATAATTAATTAAATACTAATTTTGAAACTAAAGAAATGCTGGAGTAGAGGTGGGAGATACTTCTAACATCTAATAGACTCACTTGAAACCTAGTGGTAATATCAAGATTACATCAATTTAAGAAAACTAGTTTTTCTGACATCAACATTCATGGGTACCTGTATAATTATTTTATAATTACCAGTTTGCCCCTTGGGATAACCTCCAGGCTTTTATTTTCAAAAGCAATGAAAATTTTAAAGTGCATGCAGCTATAGGGAAGTTGGTATTTATTATTAGCTTAATATTTTTGTTAGATTTATAGCCTGTTCTTCCCTTCCTCTCACCAATGCTTTTATTTTACAATTTAGTCTTCTCTCAAAAAGACTTAACATATCTATTTTTCCAATTTATTTGTTTTTATCTAAGAGATAGACATTCCTCTCTGACTTAATAAACACTGTGTATAAAGCAGCAGATTGCATGCAACTAGGGAAGCTAAAGCACTGTAAAAAGCCAGTCTGCTTTCATTAAAGTGCAGAATGCATCTATAGTAAAATTTATTTATACCAGTGATTATCAGAATCATCTTGGGATCTTCCAAAAATATATATATATAACAGAACATCTATTATATAGTTAGATCCATGAAACCCTATTTAAGGGGAGGAAGGATGGTAGGTGGAGACTTGTATTAAAAAGTCCTCCAGGCCTCCTTGGAAAATTATGTTACCACTGGAAAGAGATTTATTAGACATAGTAATCAAGAGGCATAAATGGTTCTCCAGCATCTGCTAATGAGGTAATGATTGTAATTATGAGTATCTAATATCTGTTAGATGTTGCTATTCCCTTACCCCCTTGGGAAGAGATACAAATAAAAATAATAAGATGTGGTCTTTTTCCTTTTCTTTAATTAAAAAAAAAGACCTTTAATTTATATTAACTTCCCACGCTTCTAAGCTGTTTCTGATCCTGAATTCTTCAGTGAACACTGAGAAGACAACATAGGAGCTTCTTTTTCTTTCTTCTCTCCTTTCTTCATTTCTGTTTCTCTTTTTCCTTTTATCTTTCCTTTCCTTTCTTCTTTCCTCTAGCTGGATGGTTTATAACACTTTAGAAAATTTTCCTGACTGGAAGAGGGCCAATCTGAATGAACTCTTGTCTTGGGCGTGGAAGGAAAGAAGATGCTGAGCATGGACCCTGACTTCCAGGAAGACTGTGGCTCCCATCTCCTAAGTGCCCCACTCTTCCCTTAGCGTCCAGGCTAGAGTGGGGTGGGGAGGTAGAAAAGAGAGGAGACAAGAAGGTGGTGGAAAACTGAAGCAAAGCTGTAATTTATTTCTTCTCTAAGTTAATTACATTAAGTGTAAATATTCCTTGACCTTAATATCCACTACTGTATGGGACAACCTCTGTGAAAACATTTGTTGCTTTAGATATTTTATGGTGAATATTGTAATGAAATCAACAAAATAACATTTAGTGGATCTGCCACTCAACATTTTAAATATATCATTATTGTCATTTTTCTATGTACTGTAATGGAATTTGACCTACATTAGAATGGTTCTCATAATTTTTCTCATTAAATATTTTTTTTGAAATAGTGTTTGTCCTTCTGCAGTATGCCAATTTTGAAGCATAATATTGACAGAAATCTTTAAGCTACTTGGTTTTTGCTTTTATTTTTTATTTTACCTTGTGTGAGGGAAAAAAGAAATATATTAATTTGAGAGTGCATTCTGAATTATGCCATTAACCTATAAGTAATTTTTCATTATTATCCCACCACACTTAAAATTGTCCAAAATATTTTGAGATGGGAAGGGATTTAACTTTAGTTTCTATTAGCAATAATCGCGCCTCGGATAAACCTCATTGGCTACGATACTGCCACTGCGCAAAGCTTAACTTTGGTTTCTAAATGTTTCTCTTTTGATAGTTCCTACCAAATTTCTGTTAGAAGTAGTGGAAGGCTGGAGAGTGAATACTGAATATCATTTCCTTGACATAAAAGTTTTTAATGAATACTACTTGAGTTGGTTTTGTATGCTGAGTATATGTATGAAAAATCATGATTATTGTTTTCCAATTAAATAAAAACATAGTAATTACTTAAATCAGAATTAACCAAGTACAGCAACTGTTTAAGAGAAAAGTGTTTCCTGCTAATTCAAGCTTGCATCCTATCTGGGGAAAAGAAATATGTGTTTATATTTTACTTCACTAGTCTCACGGTAATCCCAGTTGTTCTCATGAAGTCTCTCTATTGATGTGATCCTTACAGCCTTTCAGATCTCTTACTCTCTCATTTGTTAAATCCCATTTTATGCAGCATTTTTCCAAATAAAGCTACAAAAATTGGTGTTGATATTTCTAGGACGGTAGAAAAGTTATTACTACTGAACATAGAAATAATTTGATTATGTAGATTAAAGAAAAGTCAATCTATTATAATTGCTGTAAAGAAGCTATTTAATTTGGGGCCTGGTTTTTTTTTTTCTTTTAATTTAAGATTTTATTTATTTATTTGACAGAGAGCAACACAGCGAGAGAGGGAACACAAGCAGGGGGAATGGGAGAGGGAGAAGCAGGCTTCCCGCAGAGCAGGGAGCCCAATGCAGGGCTCTGTCCCAGGACCCTGAGATCATGACCTGAGCCAAAGGCAGACGCTTAACAACTGAGCCACCCGGGTGCCCCTTGGGGCCTTTTTTTACTCTAGATAAGAAGATTAATTTGGATGAAAATATAGATTCTTTATTTGAACTGGGATAACCAACCGAAAGGTAAAGATAAAGGCAGAAAATAAATCCGAATCATTTGGTTTAAATGACCAGAGTGTTTACGCATTGTTGAGAATTAAATAGACAGTTGATACTGCTTACGTTTGTCTTCAAGGTCTTTGACTTTGATGGAAGTTGGAACTTTAGGGATAGATTATATAGAAAGTAAATCTGACTTCAAGATTCAGTTCCTTTTTGTTAATTTACTGTTTTAAATCCTAAGTATCCAGAGCTGTGGCTTTGTGGCACACCAAGTATATCTTTGTGAGTTGCTTCCCAGAGCTTGAGAGAGCAAAAGTAGTAATTGCCTTTGCTTTCAGTGGGTTTTTTTTTGTTTGTTCGTTTGTTTTTATTTCTCACAACATTCCAAACATAGGTTTATTTTAGGAGACCCAAGAGTTTATCTTTTTATTTTTAAAAAATTGCTAAGAATTATTTTATCTCTTACAGTTCCTCATGTAGTGTTATCACCTGATAGATAAGAAGTGAAATATTTTATTTCATGCCAGACTATCTAAATACTTTTGAAATATGTAGCTCAATATGTATAATTCTTATTTTTAGCAGCCAAGAATAATTTAGGTTTCACAAGTCATACTTATGTGCCCTTACTCTTTCACTAACCAACCAGATCTGTAATTCACATGATAATCCTTGATGTTTGTATTAATGGTAGACTATAGTGGTTCTAGTAAGTCCCAAATGTCAACTGATAAGAATGGATAATTGTTGTAGAGACTTACTGTGGGTATTTATATTTACAAGGAGGGTTTATGCCTCTCCCAATTAAAAAGTTAGCCTTGTCACTTCAAAATTCAATAGGAGTCTGTGTTTATGAGTAATATTTTCATTTCCTCAAAGTTTTATTTTTTTGTTTAAGACTTTTTAATTCTAAGCTTTTTACATTTCTCTGGATTTTTAAGATCTGACAATTGTGTTTTCCTTTACTAATAGAAAGGATGAATTACTGATGGCAAAACAAATTCTAGGATCCCATTATAGGGATCTTGCTGGTCTTTATGGGTAAGGGAAAGCCTGGTTACCCTGTAGAGTTTACATTCTCCATCCAAGTCCTCACCATGTTTAAAAATAGGTTTCAGTCTTTCTGTAATGAAGAAGTAGAATGAAGAAAACCACTTAATTTTGACCAGAGTTGAGATTGTTTTCTGTATGTTAGGGGCATTGCTTTTACTTATTTTTCCTTTTCCTTTTTATTCTCTGCTTTCCAAGCCATCATTTTAGGGATATGGAGAAAAAAATAACTTCTCAAGGGTAGTAACTTGTTGGTTGGTTGGTTGCTTTTTGGCTTTTGTTTTTTTTGTTTTGTTTAAATCTCATATTAACTTTAAACTCCTCCATTTGATACAACCAATGGAGTGAAAGGGTTTTGTTTTTTGGTAATATTAATAAATTGTTTGAAGGTGTATTTTTGCTGTTGACTGAGATTTATCAAAAACATAAGTTACATTTTAAGCTTGTGTATATCTTGTGTCTTTTTAGGTGTAAGGATTTGCATCAACCTGAGTTATTAAGAGTGAAACTCTTGGCTCAGAATAGATGTGAATCAACCCTTAGGAAGAGATTCTCTCACCTAGTTTAGGTGCCATGTTTCTTACTTTGTGATAGATAAGTGGCAATTACTTTTTTTTTTTTAAAGATTTTATTTATTTATTTGACAGAGGGAACACAAGCAGGGGGCAGTGTTTGGGAGAGGGAGAAGCAGGCTTCCCGTGGAGCAGGGAGCCCGACGTGGGGCTCGATCCCAGGACGCTGGGATCATGACCTGAACGGAAGGCAGATGCTTAAAGACTGAGCCACCCAGGCGCCCCCGCAATTACTTTTTAAAATAAGCATGAGGTTTTGGTTCTTTGCATGAACATTTGCATTTGAATTATTATGCAGTTTTCTCTTATGCTTGCTAAAATATACAAGTTATATATCAAAAGACTCAAAACAAGTCAAAATAACTACGAGCTTCCTTCTCAGGCTGTAATATATAAAGTAATGCCTAACCAAGCAGAAACTTACCTTCAGCATTTGGACCCTCTAAATCCAGTTATATCTTATTCAGGAGACCAATGACTTTTTTTTTTTTTAATCCCTTCATCATCTCTGCTTTAGAATGTTCTATTTTTCTCCACTAGTAAAGAACTTTTAGAAAACAGAGAATAGGGAAAATTTGCCCTGTAATAGTAGCACCTAAACAAAACCGCAGTTAATGTTCTGATGTCTGTCCTTCCAGTCTTCAACCTGCATTTCTTAAATAGTTTTACGTTATCAGTATGTTTTGTATTTCGTTTTTTACACTAACTACAGCTAAGCATTTCCTCTCCTTACATCATAATGTTAGTGTAAGGCATTTATATTTATTATGAATTAGTTTGTCTGTTATTATTAAACATTTAGGCTGCCTCTAAGTTTTTCATAGTTCTAAGTTTGCAATGTTTTGGGGCCTATTGTTTTTCCCCTTTTGTCTTGTAATATTATATTTATAATACAAAATCCTGTAAGTGGGGGAAAAACTGGATCAAAGGGTTCAGATTATTTTTTAGCTTTTGATATCTACTATTATTTTGATTTCCAAAAACAGCCCAGTTTTTACACTATAGTTTCTCCTTAGCATGCCAGCAGTGATTATCAGGGGTGGGAGGTGAAGGGACAAGGCAGTGAGGTGAGAAGAGGGAGATGAGGTAGGAGGTGTGTGTATTTTCATGTAGCACATTCTTTGAAATCTGATTGCTAGGTATACGCATTGTTTTGTTGCTAGCTATGATACCTTTGGAAAATTCCTTATCCTTTCTGAGTCCACTTCCTCATTTTTGAAGTGGGTTAATACAAATTTTTTTTTTTTTTTTAAGATTTTATTTATTTATTTGACAGAGAGAGCACAAGTAGGCAGAGTGGTAGAGGAGGGAGAAGGAGAAGCAGGCTCCCTGCCGAGCAGGGAGCCCGATGCGGGGCTCGATCCCAGGACCCCGGGATCGTGACCCGAGCTGAAGGCAGACGCTTAATGACTGAGCCACACAGGTGCCCCAATACAAATATTTAATACCTCAAAGTGTTGTTAGGAAGCAAATGACATTATGCATATGAAACACTTATGCATGGTAAGTTTTCAGTAAATGGTAGCTTCAATACTAGTAACAAATTAATGTATAAAAGTTGGAAAATTAACATTTTGAGCATCTATCCTGTCCTCCTGTCTTGCTCAGTATTTTGTGTAAGTTCTGCAAATCTATTCCAGATATATTTCTAGGTAGAAGGAACAGCATGTGCAAAAGCTTAAGAATATGAAAGAGCCCTGTATGTCTGGAGCCTGCTAGGATATAACACGACTTGTGGGAGATGAAATGGGAGATGGTAGATTAAGAAGAGTGATTTTTTTTTTTTAAGGGTCATTCTGGACTTTGTTAAAAACCTTGAACCTTTATCTGTGCAACTATATAAAGTTAAGAAAAGTGATTGACTTCAACTTTTGGTTTGTGGTTTTAGTTTAATTAACAACAACAACCAAAAAGATGTGGTAGGCAAGACTGCAAAGGCACTGGGGATAGGGTTTTACTTTGGTCCAAGAATTTGGGAAATATATTTGAAGTTAAATTTGCAATATCCACTGTTTTATTAGAGGGATGAAGACTCTAGGCTTATAGCAGTTAATTAGCTTTTTTTATTTAGGTAAGTCACCTAATACCTGAGTTTCATTTCCCTCTTCAGTTTGAAGGGGTTGTGTATCAGACTTCTATTGCCCAGTGGCTATATGTAAAACCAACTTATATGCTTATAGTAAGACCATATTGTTTACATGTATGTCCACTAATAAGCTGAATCTTGTTTTATCTCATATATACAAACTCATGAAAACATTGTGTGAGAAACTCCCTGGTTTGCACTATTTCTCTCTTAATTCAGCTTCTGAACTCACTTACAAATGGAATAACTGCCTCCAATTCTAGGATGTGCATTAGCTGTAAGGGAAGAACCCTTTTGCCAGTTAGACATAACTTATCCCAGACGAGAAACTTTCTTGATGTTGAAAACATGGGGAAACAAGTTTTATAAAGGCAATTTTCTAAGAAAAATGGAATTTTCTTAAGCTAGAAATCCTTATTGAGCAAATTGTAACACCTCTCAAGGACTACACTTTTTTTTTAAAAGATTTGATTTATTTATTTGAAAGATTGAAAGAGGCATAGTGGGGGGAGGGGCCGAGGGAGAGGAGAGAGAGATCTCTGAGGAGACTCCACATCCAGCGTGGAGCCCTACATGGGGCTCAGTCTCACAAACCTGAGATCATGACCTGAGCTGAAGCCAAGAGTCAGATGCTTAACCTACTGAGCCACCCAGGCGCCCCTCAAGGACTGTACTTCTAAAATATGAATGTTTTACATATAACAGTAGCAAGAAAAGAAATAATTCATGTTTTAAAAGCTCCCTAAAATTTGAACGTTTTTGTTCCCATATTCTTTTTTTAAAAAAGATTCATTTATTCATTTTAGAGAGAGAGAGAGAGAGCATGCACACAAGCATGGGAAGGGGCAGAGGGAGAGAATCCCAAGCAGACTCGCCACTGAGTGCAGAGCCCCACCCAGGGCTTGATCCCATGAGACCATGACCCAAGCTGAAACCAAGAGTTGGACAGCCAACCGACTGAGCCACCCAGGCTACCCTTTGTCCCCATATTCCTTACTAATTCACTCTTAATATAATGTTTCTGATACTGTAATTACTACATTATGTTTTGCATTAATTTTGGCAATACTCTTATTGTCACAGGTTAAGAGAAAGTTACTGTATTTGAATTTATATTGCATTTTAATAACATCTGCTCTCATGTTCCTCTAATGAAAAGCTTCTGTTCTAATTACTTAATATTTTAAGGGATTATTATGTGATGGGAAAAATAAGAGACCAATGCTTTTTTCCCTTTCTGACATTGCTGTGAAGTTTTGATCGTGCAACTTAACCTATGTTTTAAAATGAAAGCATTGGTGCAGTAGCATTCTCATTTTTCTACCTGTATAACTGTAGTCTTGCATATTTGCATTAGTTAGCTCTGTTAACATTGAAATACTAACAGAAATGGTATTTCTTTGGGTTGGTAATTCTAACACTTCAGACTAGTACTAAGTTGATGTGATTAACTAGTTTTCCAGGACTGAATCCTTTTTCTAAAGTTCCTTGTTAAATCAAATATGTGTCTTAGTTAGAGTAGCAATTACCATAGTTGTTTACTCTTAATGGTCCTTTGGGGCTCTTTGATTTGTCTCCTACAAAGTTCTTGGAATTCATGGAACCTACCCCACAAGGTTTTTTAGGATGTTCTTTGACCCACTAAAAACATATGAAAAAGTTTGTCATGTCCATGTGATTATTTTACTAGAGAGTTTATTGCTTTTATTAGATTCATAAAGGGGATCAAAATATTAATGATTAAAAATTAGTGCTACAAAATGTAGTCTGGCAAGTTGACTTGATAGGACTATGAAGTAAATTGTACTAGAATACCAATTACTAAAAATTATAAATGTTAATTTTCTGCTCTCACTTTGAATTTTACATTAATTCTTATATAGCTTGGCTGATTTAAAGATTTATTTATTTATTTATTTTTGCAAGAGGGAAGGGGAGAGAGAGAGAGAGGGAGCACGAGTGGGAGGGAGCGGTAGAGGGAGAAGCATACTCCCAGCTGAGCAGGGAGCCTGATGCGGGACTTAATCCCAGGACCCTGGGATCATGACTTGAACCAAAGGCAGACACTTAACCAACTGAGCCACCCAGGCACCCTAGCTTGGCAGACTTAAAAGAAAAAAAATCACAGAATAAGTGTACAGAAGCTCTTTATTTTAATCCCTTCATTTTCTCCTCTACTTCTTCTAGTCTAGAGTCATGTTATCTATTATTTTAAGAGAGTGAGAAACCTTAACCAAATCACTTTGCTTCTCTTTGCTTTCTCATCTTTTAAGAAAGGAAGCAACACCAGATTTACTGCCTCACAGTGCTGTCGTAAAACTCAAATGACATTTTTGGCTGTGAATAAGCATTTTAACCAACATCCTGTGACATTCACACAAAATACATCTGTCATATAAAGAACAGACCAATTATGTGAAGAATTCTGCACTAATTTGTTAATACATAGTTAGGAAACTAGTTAAGAACTAGAACAAATAATGCTAAAATTTGTATGGAATCACAAAAGACCCCTATTAGCCAAAGCAGTCTTGAGAAGGAAGAACAAAGCTAGAGGTATCACAATCCCAGATTTCAAGATAAAATATAAAAATGTATTAATCAAAACAATGTGGTACTGGCACAAAAATAGACACATAGAGCAATGAAACAGAATAGAGGGCCAGGAAATAAACCCACGATTATATGGCCAGTTAATCCATGACAAAGGAGGCAAAAATATACAGTTGGAAAAAGATGGTCTTTTCAACAAATGGCATTGGGAAAACTGGACGGCTACGTGCAAAAGAATGAAATGGACCACTTTCTTATACCATACACAAAAATAAACTCAAAATGGATTAAAGACCTACATGTGAGACCTGAAACCATAAAACTCCTAGAAGAAAACATAGGGAATAATTTCTTTGACATCAGCCGTAGACATTTTTCTATGGCAAGGGAAACAAAAGCCAAAATAAACTATTTGGACTGCATCAAACTAAAAAGTTTTTGCACAGCAAAGGAAACCATCAACAAAATGACAAGGCACCCTACTGAATGGGATAAGGTATTTGCAAATGATATATCTGATAAAGGGTTAAAAAGCCAATATATATAAAGAACTTCTACAACTCAACACCCCAAAAATAAATAATCTGATTTTAAAATAGACAAATGACCTGAATAGACATTTTTCCAAAGAAGACAAACAGATGGCCAATAGACACATGAAGAGATGCTCATTATCACTCATGATCATGGAAATGCAAATCAAAACTACAATGAGATACCACTTTTCACCTGTCAGAATGGCTAGAATAAAAAAGACAAGAAATAACAAGTGTTCGTGGAGGAAAGGGAACCTTTGTGCACTGTTAGTGGGAATATAAATTGGTGCAGCCACTGTGGAAAACAGTATGGAGGTTTCTCAAAAAATTGAAAATAGAATTACTGTATGATCCAGTAATTCCACTACTATTTACCCAAAGAAAACACAAACACTAAATCAGAAAGATACATACTCCTATGTTTTTACTGCGGCATTATTTATAGTAGCCAAGATATGGAAGCAACTCAAATATCCATCAATAGATGATTGGGTAAAGAAGATATAGTATACATACATGATGAAATATTACTCGGCCATAAAAAAGAATGAGATCTTGTCATTTGCAGCAACATGGATGGACCTAGAGGGTGTAATGCTAAGTGGAATAAGTCAAAAAGACAAATACCATGATTCCACTTGTGGAATTTAAGAAACAAAACAAGCAAAGAACAAAAGAGAAACAGAAAAAAAGACTCGTAAATACAGAGAACAAACTGGAATTTGCCAGAGGTGAAGTGGGTAGGGGGACAGGTGAAATACATAAAGGGGATTAAGAATATGTATATTATGATGATCAGTAAATAATGTATAGACTTGTTGAATCATTATATTGTACATTTGAAACTAACACTGTATGTTAACTGTACTTCAGTTTAAAAATTTTAAAATCTCATTTTCTATTTTAACAAAATACACATAAAAAAGAAAAAATAACTCCATAAAAATTGCTAATAATCTGCACATAATCTCACAAGTAAAGAGGAAGAGCAGGTCAGTAAGATTATAAAAACACCTTTTTCCCATCTAAGAATAGTAAATCTGTTTATTAAAAGAAGTTTCAATTGGGCTTATGTATCTCAGCCCACTTATTAAAGGTACGTTTTATGGGGTATGCCAAGAGTTATTAATATAACTTTGAATAAATATAAAACATGTTTTACTTTTTTTTTTTTCATGTTTTACTTTTAACATGAGCTTTATAGGAAGAATTGTTTAGAGTAAAATATTCCTAATTTGAAATAAAAGGACTGCATCCATAATGTGTTTACTCTTTCTCACAGTTCGTTGATAATCAGTATGCCTGGTGGTGGGTTCTGAAAGTGTTTATAGGGAATATAAAAGAGGAATGTGAAATAGAATTTTCATGTTCTATGGGTAAAAAATAACAAAAAGGATGCTGAACTATTTAAGTATAAATTTTCTTATAAATTTAATTATAATTTTCTCTATTTCTGTTTTTATAAATGAAAAATTTATTATAGTGTAATAATTATCTTACTAACTGTTCTGCATTATCACCTGGATGTTTTGATGTATTAATCTTGAAAACAGAAGATTCTTACTTGGGAAACTTAGTGAGTCAGTTGTTAAGAAAATAGAGTATAAATTTTACCTGAGTAGTTACACATGTTAATTTTCAATAAGGTTCTTTTTGTTGTTTTTTTAGTGTGCAAGGTTCAGTTTCCATCCCTCTCAAAACAATAGGAAAACATAGTTTCATTTTACTGTTTGTCATTGGGTGTTTTTACCTCATAGTGAAGGCTATATATAAAAATTTTTTAAATCTTTACCCTTTTAAAATTTGGAAGACATGTTTATTAAGTAGACTATAAGTTAAGGACCAGCATAATAATCTTTTGGTATCTAGTGTTTTCTTCCTCATATATTCTAAAGTGATTCAAATGTAGTATCTCAGATAATAATAAGATGAATTTTTCTCATTTGTGTAAGTATATCTCAGTTCTGACCTGAGACCTCTAGGTTTTTCCCATCAAAGATTTGTCTTGAATAGATTATTCCACCTGATAGGGAATTCTAGGCAAAAGTTTTGTGTTTGTTTTCTCTTTAAATATTGTGTGTGACAAATGTGAGTGAATTGATTACAATTTGAATTTGAGGTCCTGGAAGTAAGAGGTTATTATATTAATTTGACTTGCTAGTTCTTTTTCCCCACTTTATCACTGTTCAAAATATATATGGTATTTTGTGTTGAAGTGTTATCTTGAGCAATAATTATACTTTGTAAAATAACTGACTCACCAGTATAAATTTAAACTCACATTTTTAGGGAAGTAGAACTGTTTTTTTTTTTTTTTCTCCGAACATGCATGGGTATACATATATGTACACATTCATAATTTTTTCAAAAACCATTCAAATCCATTCATTACAAGGAGTAGTGTTCACCTTTGCCAAAGCACATAATGTCTTACCACATAACTTTATTTACTCTTCCATTCTTTCTCTCTTTGAAAGTGTGTTTTTGAAATATTCTGGAGCATCAGCATGTCAGTAAAAAGAGTAATAGGTAATTGCTATTCACTCTAGCTTTGTTGTGACTTCCACAGAAGAATCAACTTCAGCATCTGTACAGAAGGAAGTTTTAATGGTCATTAGCCTAGCATTTGAAATAAAATGTTAATGAACAAAGGGTATATAGCAACTTTTCTTTAATGCATTCCCCTGCCTATTTACCACCTGTTTCCACCACTTCTGAAAAAGTACATCCAAAAGGAACATGTACTTAAACTGTTCCTTTAATTTTTAATTTTCATCCAGGTTACAGATTTTAAAATTTCCCTTGATATTTTCTGCTTGGCCTTTAAGTTATTTGGAATGTATTGTTTAATATCCACATTTGGTTTCTAGTTTAATTTTGTTGTGGTCTGAGGAATGAATATATGGCTTCTACTTTTGGGGGTTTAAAATTAGTTTCATGGTTTCAAATAGTTCCATGTGCATTTGACAAGAATCTGAATTCTGCTTTTGTTAGGTAGACTGTTCTGTAAATGTTAATTAGGTCAACTTTGTTGATAGTGTTTTGCAATTTTTATATAATCTTGCTAATTGTCTAGTTCTATCAGTTATAGAGTGGCAATTTTGAAATCTTCAGGTATAAATTGTTCAGTTTTCTATTTCTCTTTTCAATTCTGTCAGGTTTTGATTTATGTAATTTTGTGTTGTGTCCCATATATAATTATTATAGCCTGTGATGTGTATTGATTTTTATCATTATGAAATTTTCCTTTTTGTCTGTTGTCATATTTTGGGTTATAAGGTCTATTTTGTCTGATATTAATATAGCCACTCTAGCTTTCTTTCAGTTACAGCTTCTTTGGTATATCATATTAATACCTTTCAATATCAATCTATTTATGTCTGAATGTAAGGTATAGATGGCACATAGTTGAATGTTCTTTTGTTATTCAGTTTTACAATCTCTACTTTTTGATTGGGTGTTTAAATTATTTAATGTATTGATCTGGTTTGATTTACAGATAGTCCCAACATCTGTGTCATACCTGAATCTAGTTTAATGATTGTCTCATCAGATTGTTTTTTCCTGAATGCCTTGTAATTTTTGGTTAAAAGCCATATATATTGTATGGGACAGTAGATACTGAAGGAAATATTTTTTTTGCTTGTATGAGCATGCTTTTCATTCTGCCATTCCATTATGGGGGCTGTGTTAATGTTGTCATGATTTAGTTAGTTTTTTTTTTTTTAAGTTTGTTCTTGCTATGATTACCCTCATTGGACCATATTCTAGTAATACTTTGTGTTTAGAGTCTTGGCTGCTTTGCCAGAGGATTTTTCTCATTGTGTTCTCTGTTGGGTTTTCAGCCTGCCCTTTGCACTGCTTCCCAGAACAAATCTGTCTCTTGTAGCAATCCTTGCTATATTCCTTGTTTATGTGGTGGGGGTGGTTATGAGAGGAGGGATGTTCTTTGAAGTTTTGATTAATCCTCATTCCAAGTCTGGTCCTGTGAACCTAGGTCTTGGGCGTGTGGACTTCACAATCATTTCTGCCCATCTTCCAAATGAAATGCTGGACCTAGCATATGTTCCTGCCCTTCCCCCAAGAGTAAAACATTTTGTTTCCTGTTCTTCTCCCTCAACTGCAGTAATTTCTACCAGTGCCCTCAGACTATAAGCCCCTCCACCCCCTTACCCCCAGCCCTTTCCTCTACAGACTAATCCTTTTGTTCTTTAGAGGACATAGTAGGTGTGCATCTGCATGGTTTTAGGAAATGGTTGTTCTCTTCCTTCAGCCAATACCACATGAGAAGTTTTCTGAAGATTCTCTCCATCTTCCCTGGTGGGGATCATACAAGCAAAGTTTGGAAGAAAATGCTACTCTCCCACCCCCAATGTTTATAGTTGCAGGGACCTCACACTTCCATGCTAGCCACCATATAACCTTTTATTAAACATGAACTTAAAATTCCTACTGACTCATCCAGCTATTTCTGTTTCAGGTAAGCAAATACTCTGGCGTTCTCTCTCCTGCAGGTACCAGTTTCTTCTGGTTTTTAGATTGTTTTGCCTGCGACACAGGCAGGTTCAAGAAATGTCATTAATTAGCAGTTGTTCAGCTTTTTTTCTTGTTATCATAGGGGCATTGCTCTTTCCAGCTTTCTCCATTTCTAAGCTGAACTATGGTTTTCAGTACTTGTATTACTTCTACAGATAGAAGGGTTCTTAACAATCACTTTTAATTATCTTAGACTTACTTCCTGCTATTTAAATTTGTGTATTGTCAGCATATTTCAGAACTCTATTAATAGTAATAGGTTTTTTATTTCTTACATTTTAGGGATAATTATCTTTTGCAAAATATGGTTTATATGTTCATCTGTAACCCACCCCTCCCCTGCCATACCACATGTAATCATTTAGTTTAGTGACAGAAGTACTCTCAATTACAAAAGATAATTCAGTATCTGAATTGGTAGTAGCAATGAAATCATCCATTTGAAATTTGTTTGCTAATGAAAATCTCAAGACCTATTTAGCCAGGGACAAGAATTTTTGAAGTGTGAGGAAAATATTTATGGTATCTAGAAGTTATAATGTAACATCTTAACCCATTAGGATTTTTAATTATTGAGTCTCAAATAAGGAAATTTTCTATAAAGTTTGCCAGACTTTTTATATGTAACTGACAGTTGTGAAGACACATTTATGCCAATTTGGTATTCTGCTTATGAACCAAGGGGATTTCTATAGAAATTCAGACAATACAGATTATTGCTATGATTTACTACAACATGGAAAATACTGGATTAATTTTTTAAAATTTTATTAAATACAATCCTGTTCTTCGGTATTCTTTTTTTATGATTTTATTTATTTGAGAGAGAGAGAGAGCACAAGCCGGGGGTGGGGGAGGGATAGAGGGAGAGGGAGAAATAGACTCCCTGCTGAGCAGGGAGCCTTGGGGGGGGGGCTCCATCCCAGGACCCTGAGATCATGACCAGAGCTGAAGGCAGATGCTTAACCAGCTGAGCCACACAGGCACCCCTATTTTTGAGTATTCTATAAATTTAAAATCAAATCTATTTAAGTACAAAGTTTTGACCATTAAAGAATGGAATCTTAGAAATTTTAGAAATCTGTTCTCATATTCCTTTTAATCTTGAATCCATCCTCTGTTTTGTCCCCTGCTACTCTGCCACTTACCCCTCCTAGTTCAGGCCTTCATCATCCCTGGCCATCACCTAGTAGTCCCAGGCTAATTTACCTGTGCTGTTTAAAATGCTCTGTCATGTCCTAATGGTTACAGAATAAAATCTAAGCTTTTTTATGTGACATTTAGCACCCTTTATTTAACACCTACTTCTTCATCATGATCACCTACCACTTGCATAGGCACATTTTACACTCCAGCAACACTGAACTGATTGAAGACCCTCAAATACCACATCATAGTTTGTTTGTTTACGCTTGTGCCTTTGACCTTGCTGCTCACTATGCCCAGATATGCTTTTCTGGACTTCTTTGTGTTACATATTGTAATGTCATTAGACAGGAAGTCCTTTAAGTACAGTGCTGAGTTTTGTAGCCACAGAAGTAGTAGAGTATTCATTGGGTAGATGATGACTACCATTAGATTCCTTACATTTTGCCCAGTGTAGAAAAGAATTGTATCACACTTCTAATGGGGTATCCTTCAAACATTTTGAATACTTCTGGTGGCCAGGAATTCCTACTTCACAAGAAAGTCCATTATATTTTTCTGTAACTCCCAAGTCTTACAAACTTGTCCCATAAGAACAGCTCCTACTTCTTCCCATCACCTCATAAACAATAAATATTTAAAAATGTGTAATGTTAAGACCTTGTAACTCCAAATGCAGTAAAAGTCAACATCTGAATTTTCATTGTGTTAACTCACTCTTTCCCTCAGTCTTACTTGAATCCTTTGCAGGTATATAATGTCACTTGAAAATAGAAGTGAAGAGTTCAAAACTGCATTCTGTGAAGTTGTGCTGATGTCGTGTATTTTCCTTTGTTATGGACTAGTTTAAAATACTGAAATGGGAGGATGAAAGAAAAGAGAACAGTACATTTACTTACTAGTACCTGTAAACCACACTAGTATAGGTAACAACCTAGTTCTCAGTTTCCCATTTTATTGTATTTATTTTAAATTCTCACAGATGTCCATTTGTGAGGTGAAATTTTCTACTAAATTTCGGTGAGCCACTTCTATATTTCAAATTCCATTACTGAATATAATATCATTTTTAACTAAATAAACTTATATAGATTATGTAAAAAAGTATTAAATAAGCTTTAAATATGTAATCATTTTCATTGAACTCAAAAGCCTCATTAGGTTAAAAACTCTTGTCCTGTTCATCTTGGTCTTATCTTGGCCTTGCATGGGATCTGGAAAATAGGCACCCAGTAATTTTGTTTTTTTCAATTAACAAGTAAATCTTTCCACTTCCCTCTCACCAACCCCTTGCCCAATAGCAGAAAAATGCAGACTTCTCCTTTCTCTGAATTCAACATTTATAGACAGTTTGCACTGTCTATACTAGTGTTTTTTCAAAGTATGGTCCTACTGATTATCTACTTTAGAATTATTAATTTCCTGGGATTTGTATTAAAAATGCAAGTTTCTAAACCTCAGACTTACTAAGTTATAGTATCAAAGAAGGTGAGACCCAGGAACCTCCGTGATGGTGGTGGTGTTTCTTTATGGAATGCATAATTCTCTTCTTTCTTTTTATTAAATAGCCTAAAATTACATGGGAGAAACAATGATCCCATCCCCAACACATCCGGTCTTAATCCCACCTGTGGAAATTTGTAGCGATCCAATAATGTATCCATCAGGGAAGGGGGAAAACAGGCATTTCCAGCAGTGGCCACCACAGACCTGTTCTTCATTTCACAGGAGTAATTAGGTATTATTATCTCAAACCCTTCCAAGAGCCACATTAGGAGTCTCTCTAGGTCCCCGTTTAAGTTGGTCACTTTGGAATATGTTGTAAAGACCAACTCTAAGGGCAACATTGTATAATAGGCTGTGATTCTTTCTGATCTCCTCAGTAGAACAAATAAAAGCTAGAACGTCTTGTAGTGCTTGTAGTAAATCAGGATCTTAAAGCTGGAGTCAAAGATCTGTCTCCCAAAAGGTAGCATGTCCTGATGTTTAATCAGCCAAATTTGACAAAACCTTTACTAATTTATTATAAAGGAATACAACTCAGGGAAAGCCAGGGAAAGATGCACAGGGACGGGGGCCGCCGCTGCTGGTGGTGGTGGTGGCAGCGGCGGAACATAGAGCTCTCATGCCTGTTCTGGGCAAGCCGTCTTCCTATCACCTGGATGACTTCACCAGCCTGGAAGCTCCAGAGTCTTTGTTTTTAACACACTGCTCATGGATTCATAAGTAATAAAGTACTATAAAGTATCAGTTGTTGAGCTTTTTTTTTTCTTCTTATATTTGCTTTGTAAGTATTTGCTGAATTAACAAATTTCATCTAACTAAATTTTCAAAGACTCTAAATGGCCACAAAAAGAAGTGAGATCTGTTTTAAAGATTTTATTATTTATTTATTTGAGAGAGAGAGAGAGAGAGCGCGTGTGAGTGAGGGGCTGGGGCAGAGAGGGAGAAGGAGAGAAACTCAGATAGACTCCATGCTCAGCGCAGAGCCCTACATGGGGCTAAATCTCACAACCCTGAGATCATGACCTGAGCCAAAATCAAGAGTCTGAAGCTTGACTGACTGAGCCACCCAGACGCCCTACTGTGAGGTCAGTTTAAATCAGTCATTGAGCTCAGGAATTTATTCTGTACAACCGAAAAATTTGTTATGAAATGCTATTCCTTTGATTTTTCTATTCAACTTTTAAAATACTAATATCCTTATTTTCTTTTGGCTGTACCTTCTTCCAAGTCATTAAATTTAAAAATTTCTGTATTGCCTGTCCTCCCTTTCCCATTTACTTAAATCCTCTCATCCTTTCCCAGCTCAGTCCCTACTTTTTTGTTCCCCTGTCCTTGGTTTCTGGTTTTTAACAGTTACTGATGCACCTATACAATGCATTTTACCAGCTGCCATCCAAGTATATTCTTCTCTAATTGTACTTCATTTAGTGTTGCCCCTGTTATATTCTTTGCTTCTACTTTGAGAGCAAAAAAATAACAACACCATTAGCTGCCATAATAAAATCTATTTAGTTTTTTAGGAAAGAGTTAAGAATAAATTTTTAAAACAATTCTTTTATTGTTATGTTAATCACATTCATTACATCATTAGTTTTAGATGTAGTGTTCCAGGATTCATTGTTTGTGCATAACACCCAGTGCTCCATGCAGAACGTGCCCTCTTTAATACCCATCACCAGGCTAACCCATCCTGCCACCCCCCTTCCCCTCTAGAACCCTCAGTTTGTTTTTCAGAGTCCATTGTCTCTCATGGTTCGTCTCCCCCTCTGATTTCTCCCCCTTCATTCTTCCCCTCCTGCTTTTTTTTTTTTCTTAACATATATTGCATTATTTGTTTCAGAGGTACAGATCTGTGATTCAACAGTCTTGCACAGTTCACAGCACTCACCGCAGCACATACCCTCCCCAGTGTCTATCACCCAGCCACCCCATCCCTCTCACCCCACCTCCCACTCCAGCAACCCTCAGTTTGTTTCCTGAGATTAAGAATTCCTCATATCAGTGAGGTCATATGATACATGTCTTTCTCTGATTGACATTTCGCTCAGTGTAACACCCTCCAGTTCCATCCAGGTCGTTGCAAATGGCAAGATTTCATTCCTTTTGATGGCTGCATAATATTCCATTGTGTATGTATACCACATTTTCTTTATCCATTCATCTGTCGATGCACATCTTGGCTCTTTCCACAGTTTGGCTATTGTGCACATTGCTGCTATAATCATTGAGGTGCATGTACCCCTTCGGATCTCTACATTTGTATCTTTGGGGTAAATACCCAGTAGGGCAATTGCTGGATCATATGGTAGCTCTATTTTCAACTTTTTGAGGAACCTCCATACTGTTTTCCAGAGTGATTGCACCAGCTTGCATTCCCACCAACAGTGTAGGAGGGTTCCTCTTTCTGCGCATCCCCACCAACATCTCTCATTTCCTGACTTGTTAATTTTAGCCATTCTGCCTGGTGTGAGGTGGTATCTCATTGAGGTTTTGATTTGGATTTCCCTGATGCCAAGAAATATTGAGCACTTTTTCATGTGTCTGTTGGCCATTTGGATGTCTTCTTTGGAAAAATGTCTGTTCATGTGTTCTGCCCATTTCTTGATTGGATCATTTGTTCTTTGGGTGTTGAGTTTGATAAGCTCTTTATAGATTTTGGATACTAGCCCTTTATCTGATATGTCATTTGCAAATATCTTCTCCCATTCTGTCAGTTGTCTTTTGGTTTTATTGACTGTTTCTTTGCTGTGCAAAAGCTTTTTATCTTGATGAAGTCCCAATCGTTCATTTTTGCCCTTGCTTCCCTTGCCTTTGGCAATGTTTCTAGGAAGGAGTTGATGCAGCTGAGGTCGAAGAGGTTGCTGCCTGTGATCTCCTTTAGGATTTTGATGGACTCCTCCTGTCTCACATTTAGGTCTTTCAACCATTTTGAGTCTATTTTTGTGTGTGGTGTAAGGAAATGGTCCAGTTTCATTATTTTGCGTGTGGCTGTCCAATTTTCCCAACACCATTTGTTGAAGAGACTGTCTTTTTTCCATTGGACATTCTTTCCTGCTTTGTCAAAGATGAGTTGACCATAGAGTTGAGGGTCCATTTCTGGGCTCCCTATTCTGTTCCGTTGATCTATGTGTCTGTTTTTGTGCCAGTACCATACTGTCTTGATGATGACAGCTTTGTTATAGAGCTGGAAGTCCAGAATTGTGATGCCACCACCTTTGTTTTTCTTTTTCAACATTCCTCTGGCTATTCAGGGTCTTTTCTGGTTCCATACAAATTTTAGGATTATTTGTTCCATTTCTTTGAAAAAAGTGGATGGTATTTTGATGGGGATTGCATTGAATGTGTAGATTGCTCTAGGTAGCATTGACATCTTCACAATATTTGTTCTTCCAATCCATGAGCATGGAACGTTTTTCCGTTTCTTTGTGACTTCCTCATTTTCTTTCATGAGTATTTTATAGTTTTCTGAGTACAGATCTTTGCCTCTTTGGTTAGATTTATTCCTAGGTATCTTAAGGTTTTGGGTGCAATTGTAAATGGGATCAACTCCTTAATTTCTCTTTCTTCTGTCTTGTTGTTGTTGTATAGAAATGCAACTGATTTCTGTGCACTGATTTTATATCCTGCCACTTGACTGAATTCCTGTATGAGTTCTAGCAGTTTTGGGGTGGAGTCTTTTGGCTTTTCCACATAAAGTATCATATCATCTGCAAAGAGTGAGAGTTTGACTTTTATTTGCCAATTTGGATGCCTTTGATTTCTTTTTATTGTCTGATTGCTGTGGCTAGGACTGCTGATACAATGTTGAATAGCAGTGGTGATAGTGGACATCTCTGCCGTGTTCCTGACTTTAGGGGGAGAGCTCTCAGTTTTTGCCCCTTGAGAATGATATTCACTGTAGGGTTTTCATAGATGGCTTTTATGATATTGAGGTATGTACTCTCTATCCCTATACTCTGAAGAGTTTTGATCAAGAAAGGATGCTGTACTTTGTCAAATGCTTTTTCTGCATCTATTGAGAGGATCATATGATTCTTTTTCTTTCTTTTGTTAATGTATCACGTTGATTGATTTGTGGATGTTGAACCAACCTTGCAGCCCAGGGATAAATCCCATTTGGTCGTGGTGAATAATCCTTTTAATGTACTGTTGGATCCTATTGGCTACTATTTTGGTGAGAATTTTTGCACCCATGTTCATCAAGGATATTGCTCTGTAATTCTCCTTTTTGATGGGGTCTTTGTCTGGTTTTGGGATCAAGGTAATGGTGGCCTCATAAAACGAGTTTGGAAGTTTTCCTTCCATTTCTATCTTTTGGAACAGTTTCAGAAGAATAGTTATTAATTCTTCTTTAAATGTTTGGTAGAGTTCCCCTGGGAAGCCATCTGGTCCTGGGCTTTTGTTTGTTGGGAGATTTTTTTTTTTTTTTAAGATTTTATTTATTTATTTGACAGAGAGAGGCACAGTGAGAGAGGGAACACAAGCAGGGGGAGTGGGAAAGGGAGAAGCAGGCTTCCTGCTGAGCAGGGAGCCCGATGTGGGTCTCGATCCCAGGACCCTGGGACCATGACCTGAGCCGAAGGCAGACGCTTAACCGACTGAGCCACTAGGCGCCCTCTTGGGAGATTTTTGATGACTGCTTCAATTTCCTTAGTGGTTATAGGTCTGTTCAGGTTTTCTGTTTCTTCCTGGTTCAGTTTTGGTAGTTGATACATCTCTAGGAAAGCATCCATTTCTTCCAGGTTATCTAATTTGCTGGCATAGAGTTGCTCATAATATGTTCTTAAAATTGTTTGTATTTCTTTGGTGTTGGTTGTGATCTCTCCTCTTTCATTCATGATTTTGTTGATTTGGGTCATTTCTCTTTTCTTTTTGATAAGTCTGGCCAGGGGTTTATCAATCTTCTTAATTCTTTCAAAGAACCAACTCCTAGTTTCATTGATCTGTTCTACAGTTCTTTTGGTTTCTATTTCATTGATTTCTGCTCTGATCTTTATTATTTCTCTTCTCCTGCTGGGTTTAGGCTTTATTTGCTGTTCTTTCTCCAGCTCCTTTAGGTGTAGGGTTAGGTTGTGTACTTGAGACCTTTCTTGTTTCTTAAGAAAGGCTTGTATTGCTATACAAGCAATTTTGGGAGTGCCTCCCAAAATGTTAGTCTTCTTAGGACTGCCTTTGTTGCATCCCAAAGATTTTGAACAGTTGTGTTTTCATTTTCATTGGTTTCCATGAATTTTTTTAATTCTTCTTTAATTTTGTGGTTGACCCATTCATTCTTCAGTAGGATGCTCTTTAGCCTCCATGTATTTGAGTTCTTTCCAACTTTTGTCTTGTGATTGATTTCTAGTTTCAAAGCATTGTGGTCTGAAAATAGGTAGGGAATGATCCCAGTCCTTTGGTACCGGTTGAGACCTGATTTATGACCTAGGTTGTGATCGATTCTGGAGAATGTTCCATGGGCACTAGAGAAGAATGTGTATTCCTTGCTTTGGGATGGAATGTTCTGAATATATCTGTGAAGTCCATTTGGTCCAGTGTGTCATTTAAAGTCTTTATTTTCTTGTTGATCTTTTTCTTAGATGATCTGTCCATTTCAGTGAGGGGGGTGTTAAAGTCCCCCACTATTATTGTATTGTTGTCAATGTGTTTCTTTGCTTTTGTTATTAATTGCCTTATATAATTGGCTGCTCCCATGTTAGGGGCATAGATATTTACAATTGTTAGATCTTCTTGTTGGATAGACCCTTTAAGTAGGATATAGTGTCCTTCCTCATCTCTTATTACAGTCTTTGGTTTAAAATCTAATTTGTCTGATATAAGGATTGCCACCCCAGCTTTCTTTTGGTGTCCATTAGCATGGTAAATGGTTTTCCACCCCCTCACTTTCAATCTGGGGGTGTCTTTGGGTCTAAAATGAGTCTCTTGCAGACAGCATATCGATGGGTCTTGTTTTTTACTCCAATCTGATAGCCTGTGTCTTTTGATTGGGGCATTTAGCCCATTTACATTCAGGGTAACTATTGAAAGATAGGAATTTAGTGCCATTGTATTGCCTGTAAGGTGACTGTTACTGTATATTGTCTGTGTTCCTTTCTGGTCTTTGTTGCTTTTAGGCTCTCTCTTTGCTTAGAGGACCCCTTTCAATATTTCTTGTAGGGCTGGTTTCGTGTTTGCAAATTCCTTTAGTTTTTGTTTGTCCTGGAAGCTTTTGATCTGTCCTTCTATTTTCAATGACAGCCTAGTTGGATGTAGTATTCTTGGCTGCATATTTTTCTCATTTAGTGCTCTGAATAGATCATGGCAGTCCTTTCTGGCTTGCCAGGTCTCTGTGGATAGGTCTGTTGCCAATCTAATGTTTCTACCATTGTAGGTTACAGATCTCTTCTCCCGAGCTGCTTTCAGGATTTTCTCTTTGTCTCTGAGACTCGTAAGTTTTACTATTAGATGTCGGGGTGTTGACCTATTTTTATTGATTTTGAGAGGGGTTCTCTGCTTCCTGGATTCTGATGCCTGTTTCCTTACCCAAATTAGGAAAGTTCCCTGCTGTAATTTGCTCCAATATACCTTCTGCCCCTCTCTTTCTTCTTCTTCTGGGATCCCAGTTATTCTAATGTTGTTTCGTCTTATGGTATCGCTCATCTCTCGAATTCTGCCCTTGTGATCCAGTAGTTGTTTATCTCTCTTTTTCTCAGCTTCATTATTTTCCATCATTTGGTCTCTATGTCACTGATTCTCTCTTCTGCCTCATTTATCCTAGCAGTTAGCGCCCCTGTTTTTGATTGCACCTCATCAATAGTCTTTTTGATTTCGACTTGGTTAGATTTTAGTTCTTTTATTTCTCCAGAAAGGGTTTCTCTAATAACTTCCATGCTTTTTTTAAGCCCAGCCTAGTATCTTTAAAGTGATGATTCTGAACTCTAGATCCGACATTGTCTAATGTCCATATTGAGTAGGTCCCTGGCAGTCGGTACTACCTCTTGTTCTTTTTGTTGAGGTGATTTTTTCCATCTTGTCATTTTGTCCAGAGGAGAATAGATTAATGAGAGAACAAAATGTGAACAGGGTAACAACATCCCCGGAAAATATACTCTAAACAAATCAGAAAAGACCTGAAGCCGGGGGAAAAGAAAGGGAAAGAAAGAAAAAAAAAAGAAAAAGATAAAAACAAACAAAAACAGAACAAAACAAAAAAACCCAGAATATGATCAAATATGATCAGGCTGGTGCATAGATCAGTGCCACACACTAGATTTTGGGTGTATTTTGGTCTGTTAGAAGAAAGTGCCTCCCAAAATTTTAAAGAAAGAAAAGCTTATATATGTACAAAGGTAAGGGTTGATATGATGAAGGGATGGAATATGATTGTAAAGATGAAAATTATAAAAAATTTTATAAAAGGAATTGATAAGAAGTTGTTTGAACAAAGAAAGAAGAGGATTTAAAAAAATAAAAATAAAAGGGAGAGAATGTGATCAGGCAGGAGAGTAGAACAAAACCATACACTAGAGATTTAGGGTATATTTTGATCTCTAAGAAGAAACTGTATCTCAAAATTTTCAAGAGAGAATAGCTTATATATATATATGCCAAAACTGAGGGTAACTACTATGAAGGGATAGAATATGACTCTAAAAATGAGAAATAAAAATGTTTTTTAAAAAAGGGATTGATAAGATGTTGGTTGAAAAATGGAAAAAGAAAAATTCAAAAAAAAAAATTAACTTTGAAAGACTAAAGAATCATGGTAAAAAAGCCATGGATTCTTTGTACATTATTCCCCTAGCGCTGGAGTTCTGCCGTTCTCATTGATCGGTAAACTTGGTCTTGGCTGGCTGTTCTTGCTGATCTTCTGGGGGAGGGGCTTGTTGCCGTGGTTCCCAAATATCTTTGCTGAAGGCGGAATTGCCCCGCCCTTGCTGGTCTGGGCTAAGTAATCTGCTCGGGTTTGCTCTCAGGAGCTTTTGTTTCAAGCTTTCTGTACAGCTTTGGAGGACGAGAGTGAAAATGTCGGTCTCCCAATCTCTGCCCTGGGGGAGTCGAGAACTTGGAGTCCCACTCCTCAGTGCACCCCCAGAGAGAAGCAGTCAGTCACTCCCGTCTCCCCGGTCTCCGGCCGCACTCTGTGCTCACCCGGCCTGTGACAGAGCGTTTCTATCTCTGCCACCCAACTTGGTGTGGAGTCTCCAAACCCAGTAGATCCCTGCGGTGCGCTCCCAAGCCACTCCTCCCGGGGGAGGAAGGGGAGTCCTCCCAGATCTGCCGCTTGTTGGGTCCCTGCTGGAGCAGCAGTGGCCCGACTGTGCCACTGATCACGGTTTATGGCAACCCTGAGCTGAGAGCCCGCACCTCCGCTCCGTCTCTGCAGCCGGCTTCCCCGCTCCAATACCTGGGAGCTCTGCCACACTCAGGCACCCCCGGTCTTTCTGTGACCCCGAGGGTCCTGAGACCACACTGTCCCACGAGGTTTCCACCCCCCGCTTAGCCACTGAAGTGACGTCCCTCAGCAGAGCCGACTTCTAAAAGTTCGGATTTTGTGCTCTGCAGCTCTATCACTGGCCAGAAGCGGCTGACAGAGGCCCCCTCCCCTGCTGTCTATCCTCCCGTATATCTCCTCGGATTCACTTCTCCGCATCTCCTACCTTCCAGAAAGTGGTCGCTTTTCTGATGAGAGAGTTGTTGCTATTCTTTTCTTCGATCTCCTCTTGAGTTAGTAGGTGTTCAGAATGGTTTGATCCCTATCCAGCTGAATTCCTGAGACCAGACGAAATCCAAGTCCCCTACTCCTCTGTCATCTTGCTCTTTCCCCTGAATTAAGAATAAATTTAAATCTACTTAACCTAGGGAGCCTACTTTATGTTTTTAATCAATTTTATAAGATCATGAATATGGTGACTGTAATATACTAGGACAGTCATACAGACAGCTGCCTTTTTTTTTTTTTTTAGATTTTACTTGTTTATTTTAGAGAGAGAGAGTACGAGCTGGGGTTGGGGCAGAGGGAAAGGGAGAAGCGGGACTCTTCCTGCTGAGGAAGGAGCGCGACATGGGACTGGACCCTAGGACCTGAGCTTAATGCAGACACTCACCAACTGTGCCACCTGGGTGCCCCCGAACTGCCTTTTAATTGTAAAGAAATTTAGGTTCGGGCGCCTGGGTGGTACAGCAGGTTAAGCGTCTGTTTCTTGGTTTTGGCTCAGGTCATGATCTCGGAGTCCTGAGATTGAGCCTGGCATCAGGCTCCAAGCTCAGTGTGGAGTTTGCTTATGTTTCTTTCTCCCTTTCCCTCTGCCCCTCCTCGCTGCTGTCTCTTTCTAAAACAAATAAATCTAAAAAAAAAAAAAAGAAAAAGAAATGTAGGCTATAGTATTTTGTTAAGAATAATTGCCACTTATTTGTTTGGTGCCTATAATACGCCAGTTCCTTTTTTGGCTAGATACTTTACTATGTTTCCTTTGAGTCTTCATAAAAATTCTGTGAAGTACCTAAAATTATCTGCTTTATAGTTGAGGAAATTGAGTTTCCAAGAAGGTGAAGCCAGTACTATAACAGAACCAAAATGCAGTACAGGTCCCCGTGTCTTAAATGTATTGCTATTTCTTCTGTATTACATGATATTCTTAAAGTAGTACAGAACTCTTCAAAGAGTTTTGCCAGAGTATTCTGGAGGAAATGTGCAAATAGCACCCTTAGAAATGCACAGTTCCATGGTCAGAGGCCCTCCGCAGTATTGACTGGCAGTACGGAGTAACTGTTTTCTGTCAGATAATCTGATTGCAAGCACATTGTTCTCAAGCTTTATTCAGGAGAGCATTCAGGGTCCAGAGGTATTGATATGTAAGGGAAGTTGTGGGTGTCTAGAGATAATATTTGAGTTGTTGTGTGGCAAGGAAAATTAACTTGGTTAGGGCTGTATAATGAGAAGGGAGAAGAGTTTGGAAAGCATCAGAAAGGAAGGAAAGGTGGTGAATGTATGTGATTTTTTTGTGTGTGTATCTCGGTCCTTCTTCCCTTGTACTTGTTCTTGGCGACCTTAATTCCCAGAGTAAAGATCACTTTGACTTTATATGCAGCATGTTTTTTTAATGGTTCTTTTTCTATTATCTGTCTGAATCCTGTTTTTTCCTATAGTTTATTTGAATGCATTAAAGTGTATTTAAATGAGAATCTGATGCAGTTGGGAAGTTGGATAACTAAAGCCTTCTTAATAATGAAGCACACCAAAAATGGAACCTGCAGAAACCAACCATGTGGACAAATGAAAAAATGCCTTTTGTCTACAGATTGCAGTGATCCTACATAAACATGGAGGTCTCTGTCTGGCTTAGGACAGCCGGCTAAGTCTGATCGTTCCCCTCCTTACAACCTTAAAACCAGCATTCCAAGTACTGCTTTCTGTGCTATTTTGTTTACTATCTTGGCCAGTAAGTGTACTGTTTTTTGTTTTTTTTTTAAGATTTTATTTATTTGACACAGAGAGAGAGAGCACAAGCAGGGGGAGTGGCAGGCAGAGGGAGAGGGAGAAGCAGGCTCCCGCTGAGCAAGGAGCCTGATGCGCAGGACTCGATCCCAGGACCCTGGGATCATGACCTGAGCCGAAGGCAGATGCTTAATCAACTGAGCCACCCAGGTGCCCCATTGTACTAGATTTCGAATAGACAAAAAAGTGAGGTTACTTCTGCACCTATCTTAATTGGGTTATAGATATTTTATGGCTTTAAAAATAGGTATTGTTTGTTTGATTAAGGAACCTACAGCCAGGAAGTGGACTGAACATAGAAATATTGTTTTTCTGGGAGGCCATTGGCTTAACTAATCAGGGTTATCAGTAGAGTTCAATCAATATTTTAGATATGAAGAAGCTAATCAGAGGTAGCTTCCATGAAGTTTTTCTCATTAGGAATTGATTTGTCATTAAGAAAGTGATTTTTTCCAAATACAATTTATGTAAACTTTTAAGTCTGTAACAAATTTTAGGAATGACCATTACCAGGGAAAGGCTAGCTACTAAGTATTAACTTCTTAGCACTAAATTTGAAATCTCAGTTTTTTCAGCGTGTGTGTTCTGTCAGCGGGGGACGTCTGGGTAGCAGGGGAGGCAGCTGCAGTAGCATTGCTAATGCGTAGCACCAGGTGTGCTGGAAGCAACCACAGCTGGGCTTATTTTTAACTTACTGCATGGGGATCGGTCCTTGTTTATGGTTCTGAAATCCCCATATATTTCTTACTCTGAGCAATTACTGTATCAAACAATTATTAAGTAGCCTTATTTTTCTAAGCTCTTTAGAAGTCATTAGTCTACTCTTCATTTTGATGAACCATTTTAAGATTTTGTATTTAAAGATTTTATTTATTTGAGAGACAGAGCACAAGCAGGGGGAGGGGCAGAGGGAGAGGGACACGCAGACTCCCTGCTGCGTAGGGATTCCCAAATGGGTCTCGATCCCAGGACCCTGGGAACATGACCTGAGCCAAAGGCAGACACTTAACTGACTGAGCCACCCAGGTGTCCCTCACTTGTATTATTTGTGCTCTGCTTCTTTACACAAGAAATTAAAATCTAGATTCAAGATCCTTCATTAAAATGACCTCTGACTAAAAATGATGAACATAGATATTATTGAGGTCTAATCCAAAGGGGAAAAGAATGTCTTATGACTGAATCTTTCTCAAGGTATGTTTACAAATATATTTGAGAGGTGTCCTCACCACTCTATTTAATTTTCTAGAATCTTTCAGCCAAGGCCAGGAAATGTAGTACTTAACCTTGTGTTCTTAAATCCTTTGTAATGCGTTCATCATTTTGAATCTGCTTGCTACCATGTTTTTCCATTTCATCTTCGATGTAGCTATCTATGTGCCCTTACCCTTTTGCTGCCGTATCATATATGCCCCTTAAACTCTCTCCTCCACAGTCTCCAGTAAATCCAGTAGGTGACCGCTGGTTTCTATTCAAATCAGATATATGAATATAGAAATCGAGTGATCCTCATATATAACAAATAAAAGCTGACATTTATTTGAATGTGAAGGCAAGTTAAGTATTTTGTGCCTTGCACCAGTACCATCAGTTATACATCCTTCTTTGCTATTTGAGGTTATGTGGAAGCTCAGTTTGATCCTCACAATATGAATTTTAAATCCCATTATAAGATGAAATATTTGTGTCTTTCCTGTTAGACTTAAAGACTAGATGGAATTATAACCACTGTTTATAGCCAAGGATATGCTAAAATTAGGGACAATCAGATATTTAATGGTATAGCTAAAGTAGTTTTTTTCTGACAGGTTGGTGCCTCTTCTTGTTGTTAGATAGTTTTAATATCCACTCCTGAGAACAGTTTGTGTTATGTATGCTCTAAATGTAAACACAAGTTCCTTTGGATACCAAATATAAAAAGGTCTTGACAGAAAAAAATAAGTTTGAGACAGGGAGGAAGATGACAATCTGGTGATTCTGGTGGAGGTAGATTTTTGGTGGAGGTGGATCTCCTTCTAGTTCCTTCCTCTGTGTGTGTGTGTGTGTATGTGTGTATGTTTCTGTCTACCCACATTACATTTCTAAATTGGCACTTAGACATGATTCTTGCACTGCTTTGAAGTCTTAAGTTGTTGATGTATTGTTAGCCTTTCATAATGGCAAAGCATCTTAGAAGTCCTACAAAGAAATTGTAGATCAATCTGTATACATGTATATGGTCATTTTCCCAAAGAGAGGAGCAGTTTATAACCAAATCATTTTTAATGAATGTGAATTTTCATGTAAAGACAGATCCAGTGGTAAAATTTAGTGGGCTGGTATTTTGTGTTTATAGTCATGATCACATTAGCCTCTTTTACCTTTTACTTTTAGATAAAATTTGAATTTCATATGCATTTATGTCTTCTGTCTGATTAGTACTATCCTTTCTTAAATCTAGTCATAGGTATAGGAAGTATCCAACACCTAGAGCATCATCAGTTTGCCATTAAAAAAAATCTGGTCCATTTTGTCTTAGAGTGATTATAAAAATATCTTCAATATGGGATGTTTCCACTATTCAGAAAAAGCTTACTTAAAAAGCTTAAAAATTTTGAATATGAAATATGATAAGCCACCAAATCTAGAAGTCCTTTTGATTAGCAGGGTTAATTCATTTCCTCTTACTAGACAAGTTAGTTATAAGAACAGGCATTTGAACCAATAAAAAAAATGCATTATAAGTTATAAGAACAGGAATTTGAAAAAATTTAAAAAATGAAGTATGGGGCGCCTGGGTGGCTCAGTTGGTTAAGCGAGTGCTTTCGGCTCAGGTCATGATCCTGGAGTCCCTGGATCGAGTCCCGCATCAGGCTCCCTGCTCAGTGGGGAGTCTGCTTCTCCCTCTGACCCTCCCCCCTCTCATGTGCTCTCTCTCTCTCATTCTCTCTGTCTCAAATAAATAAATAAAATCTTTAAAAAAAAAGTATGATGTAATGAAGATAATATAATTTATTAATAATTACCCATTTTATTAATTGTAGATTATGATTATATCATTCTACTCATAATAATCTTTATAGTTCATGCTCAGATAGGTGTCCATTGTTATCTTAAGGATACCAGTGTGGAGGAAAGAGAGGGTTTGGATTTAACTGGATGATCTTGAAAATATTTCCTTGTGATAAAGAAACTCCAGATCTCCCAAATCTTGAATTGGGATTGGCAGGGAAAAGTAGACTACTGGCACAGCCTTATATCCTGACTATAGAACACTCTCTTCCATCTTAGTTCTGTGGCCAAGCCCTTTTCTCCAGTGATACCACTTAAAATCATACTTCTAGGGAGATCCATAAAAGACCAAATCCTATACATAGAAAAGACTCTAGGTATATGAAATTTGAAATGTAACATCCATATATAATATATGAGAGCTGAGGCTCTCTCATAGATATCAAATGTTCACCTAAGACTCCTTTATCCTTGCATTCTGATTGTGTAAATATGGGTTGGGGCCATGCGTATGATAAGCTTATTAAATCAGTATGCTACAAGCCAGCAATTGGTGTATTGTATCAGTCTTCATATGTTGATTCATAGTTTTGCTATTCCATAGCTGTGTATATGGCTTTGGACAAGTTATTAGTCTCTTTAAGACCATGTTTCTTTTTTGTAAATTGAGGATGAAAATATTATTTTCCTCACTAAGACTGCTAAGTGGAGACTAAGTGAAGTAATTCATATAAAGTCCTTAGCACAGTAACTGGCCTGTAGAGCTCCACAGTTGGTTATGTGATAATGATAGAAGGTTGGTTTTTGTTTTTTGTTTTATCATCTCTGTAAGATAGTAAAATGAGACAGTAGTAAAATGGGAATCTTCTATTCTAAGATCACAAACTTCATTTATTTTCTGTCTTACAAACTCAATTCAAACAAATAATTCAGCCTTAGATCCTCTGTAATAGAGAAGGCGGGGGGGGGGCTGTAACATTTCAGTTTAAAGAGCAGGACCTGTTATTGATAGATTGTAGTTTTGTGCTCATTTTTTCTTAGACATATTTACATATATTTTTATGAAGTCAATTCAGAAAAACCACATGCTAAAAGAAAGGTCAGGGACAAAAACACTGTCAGGCTTACATGGTGTTTATTTAAAAATTTTTGAAGATCATTTCGAAACGCATGTTTGAGTATCTTTGTGTGGGCTCTCACATGCTACCCGTGTGCAGCATAGACTTCTGGCTGTGTTACGGTAAATGGACACACTCTGGTCCAGGTGAGGGGCTCTCCTGATGACTCATATCCAGACAAAAGTGAAAGACTTGTAACTCTGAGATCTAAAAACAGTATGAACTTGATAAAAGAGAAGATCTACTCTAAAATAGTTTTAATTAAAAGAATGATTCTGCGTGTCAGGAAAGCCACAACGGCACAATAAGACAAAGCAGTAAAATGTTAGCACTTTGAGTATGTTCTCTTTTTTGTATTTAAATTAGAGGGTACCATGGGGAAGTTTGTGAAGGTTTTGGGATGATTTGAAGAAAATAAAAAGGAATGAAGAAACTGGATAACTGAATAGTATCACTTAACAGAGCACTGATAGAAGAAAAACTGTTACAAATTTCTGCATGTTGTATTTGCATCTCAACTCAAGCGATAGGAAGAGGATGTTCATAAAGCAACTCTAGATCATGCATGAACAGAAAAACTGAAAGGGCAAATTCAGTTTAAAGTGTTCTGTGGCTACAGGATCCTGAGTCAAAAGCAGATTTGACTGTATACAGAATTCATGAACTTATATATGAAAGGAAAAGCCATTCTAATTTTCCAGATTATTTTGAATATAAATATCACTACCCTTCCATCCCAAAGTGAAAAAAATGAGGCAAAAGTCCCTATTTTATGTTTATAATTTTGGTATGAAAAGAGCCTAAAGTATGTATGGTCTTTTATTTGAAGTGATGCTGCAGTCATCACTCCAAATTAGCACTCTTTTCTGGCAATGAGAAGAAAGATACCTGTCATAAAAAAAGAGACAAAAAGCTCCATGGAGAGAATATTAAGGAATTAACAGATATAATGTAGATTGTGAGTTGTTCTTGTTTGAAACCTAGTTAACCTCAAATTTTTATATACTTCTTTATGTTTATTTAAGGAAGATATTAAATTCAGCCATTTTCCTCCATGTTCTGTGTCCTCTAGGGGTTGTATTTGCAGATATTGTTGTACATAGTGATTTACCAGCTTCATCATATTGAGTGTTTGTCTGAAGGATTTAAATGGATATACAGTTTTAACTTAGTGGACACCTTAAGAAAATTCAGTTGTTGCAGAAGAAACTGTTGAAGACAGAACTCTTACACTAATTTTTACTGGCTATCTCAGCTGCAGCTCTTGTGTTTAGAAGGCAAATGTGAATAGTATTTCAGTATACTTTCCATTTGCCATGTTGCTAATAGTGGTCTCGCACTTGAAAGGAAGACTCAGTCTTAAAGGTCATATGTCTTAGCTTTGTTTTTCTCCCAATAAAATCTTCAAAGTACTTGCCTTCCTTAGGTTGCCTTTATAACACTGACCATGAAGTTGCTTTGGGGGTGAAAATGTTTTGGAATTTTTTGAGATCCTTATTTGGCAAGGTTGTGCTTTTAAACATGTAAGAGGCATGGGAGGGATGTGTCATTTATAACTTCTGTCTTAGGGTAGTGTTATGATTAAGACTACTAGAGTCAGGTTGTCGGATTTGTATTCCTATTGCCACTCAATACAGATCTGAGGCTTTGGGCAAGTTAATAACCTTTGTGTGCCTTTGTTTTCTCTTCTATGAAATCAGAATGATAGTATCTTCCACATAATATTGTGGAACAAAATTAGAAAATATATGGAAAATATGGAGATAGGTGAGTAACTCAAGGTTAATGACCAATCAATAAATAATAAATGTTGCTGTCATCATCTTCAACACTTTCTACACTAGTCCATATAATTGGACAACTTGCACTTGTTTTTAATTCATTAGATATTAATTTTGCATTATATAAAATACATTCCTTTTTTTTAAAAGATTTTATTTGATAGCACAAGCAGGGGGAGGAGCAGAGGGAGAGGTAGAAGCAGAAGCAGACTCCCCACTGAGCAGGGAGCCCAATGTGGGACTCGATCCCAGGACCCTGAGATCATGACCTGAGCCGAAGGCAGATACTTAACCAACTGAGCCACCCAGGTGCCCCATAAGATACATTCCTAAATATATGAGATATATTTAGATGGTTTACAACCCAATATAAATATTTGTAAACAACTATGGTATAAGCCTGAATGAAAGAAATCCTTATAAGAGAATTACCCCTGAAAGTATTGATCCTAGATGGGGAGAGATTACTTCTAATTGGGAGAATTATGGAAGACTTTATGAAGATACTGGCTCTTGTGCTGGGCTTCATAATGACATACAGGGTTTTAGAAGGCTTAAGACAGAGGTAAAGGACATGCCTGGACAGAAGACCATAAACCAGCATCTTTTTAGTACTAACCAGGCATTATATACTAAGTACTATCTTAATTCAAAGTCATCACCATAAATCTTTTAAGGTATATACTTTTGACCTCTGTTTACAGGTGAAATTAAGGCTCAGAGAAGTTAACTGATTTACTCAAGATAACACAACTAAATAAGGAGTAGTAGAGTTAGAATTTGAATCCAGCTCTACCTGGCTCGAAAACCCACACTCTTTTAGCTACACTGCCTTCAGGCTGGAGAACAGTGTGAACAAAGGTATAGATGAGAGAAAGTACAGTAGATGTTTAAGAAACTTCTAATAGAATAGTCTAAATAAGAAGGTGGGGTAGAAACTCTGCTGGGAAATGAGAGAGGTTCCAGATTATAGTCTTGAATGCCATACTGAAAAAAGATGTGTGTTTCTTTCTTATGTAGGCATTAATAAGTTCCTAAAGTCCACTGTCCAGGGAGATGAATTATCACATGAGAATATTTTCATAGCAATGTGTAGAATGCATTATACTGAGAGAAGATTAGAAGTAGTCTCATTAGGTAGATTATTAAATAACCAGTACTTTTTTTCTGTATTCAGTTTCCTTTTAAAAATGTTAAAGTTAGGGGTGCCTGGGTGGCTCAGTTGATTAAGCGACTGCCTTCGGCTCAGGTCATGATCCTGGAGTCCCAGGATCGAGTCCCGCATCGGGCTCCCTGCTCAGCGGGGAGTCTGCTTCTCCCTCTGACCCTCCTCCTTCTCATGTTCTCTGTCTCATTCTCTCTCAAATAAATAAAAATAAAATCTTTAAAAAAAAAAAAAGTTAAAGTTAGCCTCACATATTACAAACATGTTTATTTAAAAGTGTTTCAGTAGGGGCATCTCTCTGTCAAATAAATAAAATAAAATAAATAAATAAAATCTTTAAAAAAAAAAAGTGTTTCAGTATATTGGGGTGTCTGGGTGGCGCAGTCGGTTAAGCGTCTGATTCTTGGTTTCGGCCAGGTCATGATCCCAAGGTCATGAAATTGAGCCCCATGTTGGGCTCTGTGCTCAGCAGGGAGTCTGCTTGAGATTCTCCATCTCCCTCTGCCCTCCACCCACTACCGTTCATGCGCGCTCTCCCAAAAAAAAAATCATCATCATCATCATCATAATAAAAGTGTTTCAGTATATTTGCTTAAGAAAAACAATTTTAGGGCACCTGGATGGTGCAGTCGGTTGAGCGTCTGCCTTCGGCTCGGATCATGATCCCAGGGTCCTGGGATTGAGATCTGCGTCGGGCTCCCTGCTCTGTGGGGAGCCTGCTTCTCCCTCTCCTCCCTACTTGTGCTCTCTCTCTCACTATCTCTGTCTCTCTCTCTCAAATAAATAAAATTAAAAAAAAAAATAAAAACAATTTTAGGGGTGCTTGCCTGGCTTAGTAGAGCATGCAATTCTTGTTCTAGGGGTTGTGGGTTCAAGCCCCACACTGGGCTTGGAGCCTACTTAAAAAACCCCAGCTTTTGAAGTATGTTTGAGGATACAGGTATTGTCTCCTACCTATTGGCATACAACCTTTTGTTTTTGGCTTTTTGTAAGAATTTCACTTGCTTAACTTAATAGATGTGGATTTAAGAGTTTTATTAAGTGATACGATTAAAGACAGTGACTCTAGGTGCCTTGGGGGTTGTGGGAGGGGAGTGAGACATCACTGAGGGAATAGAACACTATTAGAAAAAAAGTAATTCTGTCTTTTCCTTGCCATTGGCCCCTTGTTATCCATAAATAAAATCCTAACTCTGGTATGAGAGAATAGTTTACGTGTTTACCACAACCTGTTCCTCTCATCTAATCAACTAATATAAAAACTGACTCATAATTTGTCATCACCCCAAAATACCATTTTCCCCCCAAACTCATGGCATTAGCATAACCATGTCCCTTTGTCTAAAATATCCTCCATCTTGGGGCACCTGGGTGGCTCAGTCGGTTAAGCGTTTGCCTTAGGCTCGGGTCAGGATCCCGGAGTCCTGGGATCGAGCCCCTGCATCGAGCTCCCTGCTCAGCAGAGAGTCTGCTTCTCCCTCTGTCCTTCACCCCACTTGTGCTCTCTCGCTCTTGCTGTCTCACAAATAAATAAAATCTTAAAAAAAAAAAAATATCCTCTATCTTTTCTCTTGAGAAATTTCAACTGTTACTTGTTCATGTTTCATTTGTGGTCTTATGTATGAAGCCTTTCTTATCTCTCCCAGATAGAGGATCACTTCCTTCTTGCTTCCTCAGTTGCCCCTGTGAACTCTGTATTTCTTATAATAAGATAGTAGTTTTCTATTTCAAAGTCCATTTCCCCTCCTACTCTATAATCTCAAGATCAGACATTGTATCTTACTCATCTTCAGAACTCCAGTATATAGCACAATACCTGGGATATAATATGTACTCTAATGATAAAAGGATGGATAATGATAGATGAATAAAATGGCATGGAATTAATAAACTTTATATAGAAGCCACTGTCATGATATGAAAGTGCTGTGATAATGGACATTATTCTTTCTGTGGAAGCAATTTGGAGAGAGTTACCTTATCACCGTGGAGATTAGGGAAAGCTTTTATCAGAAGCTTCTGTAAAAGCCAAGTTTGTTGTTTTTTTTTTTTTTAATTAACATATAATGTATTATTTGTTTCAGGGGTACAGGTCTGTGATTCATCAGTCTTAAACAATTCACAGTGCTTACCATAGCACATACCCTCCCAGTGTCCATCACCCAGCCATCCCATCCCTCCCACCACCCTCCATTCCAGCAACCCTCAGTTTGTTTCCTGAGATTAAGAGTCAGCTCCTAAACACTGAGTTAGCTCTGGGAACTTGTGCAAAGGCCTGTAATGCTACCGACTTGAACTTCAGGTAGAGTTGCTTTTGAGGTCACCAGGCCATCTAATGCCAAATCAAAAAACCCATTATTACTAAATAATCCTTTCATCTTTTCATGATTTTTGACAGTTTGGCTACCTTCTTTTTCTTAAACTCTTACCTAGAACTAGAAGCAACTTTCCTTTGGGATGCCTGCGTGGCTCAGTCGGCTAAGCGTCTGACTTTTGATTTTGGCTCAGATCATGATCTCACGGTTGTGAGATTGAGACCTGTGTCAGGCTCCATGCTGGGTGTGGAGCGTGCTTAAGATTCTTTCTCTCTCCCTCTCCCTCTGCTCACCCCCACTCTCTCTCTCTCAAAAACTAAAACAACTTTCCCCTAAAAATGCTCACTTCTAAGATGCATATTCTATGCCAGATACTTATATGTGTGTCTTGTTTAATAACAACTCTGTTAGTTCCCTTCCCTTCCCTTCCCTTCATTAGCTCTATTAGCTCAGTTTTATTTTACAGTTGAGAAGAGTGAGATTTAGAGAGGTTATGTAACTTGTCCATGATAACATAGTTTGGAAGTGTTAAACCATTGAGCTTAAATGTTTGTGACTCCAATGACTGTTTATTCCACTTTGCCACTCTGGCTATCTATATAGCATATTTTTGTCCACATGTTTTGTTAATTTGATTTTAAGAATACAGATTGTCTTAAATAGTCAAGTCCATTTCATCCTGAGGGCCAGTTAATAATATGTCCAGAAATATAGAAGTGACCCTCTGTGGAGTTGCTTTTTCTGTAAGAGAAACCTAGAGACTTCTCTTAGGTGATCAAAGGGCTTAGAATTGAATATAAAATATGGCTTGTCACTTTAACAAGGATGAGATCCCAAGTTGGAAGTAGGGTTGTTTGTTACCTGAAACTCAAACAAGGTAGGGAGAGAGTAGAATCACCAGATAGAAAACTTATGATTCTTTTACATCCTGAGAAAGCCCTGAAGGTGTGCTTGATCTGCCATACAGTTGAAGTTCACAGTAACAATGCTAAGTTTATCTGGAAAGATTTCACTTCTGATCGTGGTAGTTGCTTAAGAAGTGGGAGTGAGAGATACTTTTCCCCTAGTCTTTGTACTGTTTGAATTTTACCACATATGTACATTACCAGTTCAAGTAAACCAATAAATATTAAAGAGAAAGAAAGGTGTCACAATGACCCCTGAGGAATGATATGTTATTGTCCCCATTTTTTAAATCCAGCAGCTTATTAACTCTATTAATTTTAATTATCCATTTCTACGTTCTTAGAATATTTTATGTGCATAATGATATGATCCACAAGTAATGAAAGTTTAATCTCTACTTTCCCAGTTTTATAACTAATTGTATTTCATTTTGCTTTATTTTGATGGCCACATCCTCTAGTATAATGTTGAATGGAAGTGATGATACCTGGCATCTTCATCTTGTTACTCACAAAAGGGATTAGGTATACTTTCTGCTGTAATATTTTTGTAGAAACCTTACAAGGAAGTTTCTTTCAGTTTTCAGCTTCACAGAGTTCTCATCATAAATGAAGCTGGAGTATATTCTTGCTTTCTTTTGTACCTATTGAAGATGATACAATAATTATCTTTTAAATATTGATGTGATAATTTTTTTTCTTATGTTAGATCATAATGTTTTACCTCTTGGAATAAGCCCAACTTGGTCAAGATGTATTATTCACATATATTGTTAAAATTGACCTGCTGCTATTCCATTGGGATTTTTTCACCTATTTTCATGAATAACATTGGCCTGTAACCTTCCTTTCTTGCATTACTCTTGTCACATTTTGGTTTCATAATTATATTAAGTTTCATGAAACAAATTAAGGAGTCTTCTCTGGACAAATATGTGTGATACTAGAAGTACACTATTCTTGAATATTTGACTGAGCTTGTAGATAAAGCCATGTAAGCCTGAGGTAGAAAAAAATATTTGACAGTTGACATTTTTTTTTTTTTAGTGCCTGTCAGATGATTCATGTTTTCTGTCTTATTGCTCAGTTTTGGTCAGTTTTTTGTAAGAATTTTTCTACTTGGTTTAAATATTCAAATTTGTTAACAAAATTTTTTCCTACAAAATTACTTATTCTCATTTTGAGAGGAGAAATAAGTTTAACATAATGCTTAACATTTGGGAAAAAATAAAAGGGCTATATTCTGATTTTTTGTTTAATAGTTATCTTTCTTCTGGTTAAAAAATGTTTGTCATCATGAGTACCAAGACTTACACATAAAACCATTCTTGTTTTATGGGAGTCCATGAAGATGGCATGTCTGTCCATTTATTTAGGTGTTCTTTGATATCTTTTAACATTGTTTTATATTTTCAACGTGTAGGTCTTACACATATTTTAAGCTTGTCTCTAAGTAGTTCATGTTTTTGATGCCATTATAAATGGTATCTTTTTTTTTTTTTTTTTTTTTTTTTACCAGAAGGCAAGTGAAAATCTAAATGACAGTTACATGCAGTGGCTCTGGGCAGAATAACCATTTACAGAACCATGAATACATGGGGCAAGCTTAAAAGGCTTGGCGCCTTTGGTGCAAACATCATGATGAATTTACAAGATTTCCATGGCTTGCAGATATTATCTTGAATCTTCAATGTTCTGGACAGAAGAAGGGCAGGAGGACACTGTGCCATAAACTCTGGAGTGTAGGTCAACTCTGCTGCTTACACCAAGTCTGTGACTTAGAATTCTGAGATCACGGTCCCTGTTTCATGGAAATGAGGCTCTCCTTGTGCTCCTTCTTCAAGAGTTCTGAAGGGTGCCAGGACAGCAATACCTCCTTGAGCATGGGAAATTGGTGGGCTTTCCTGGAGGATCCCCAAGCCACTTGAGCACTGGTGTGGAGGAGTTAGAGGGCTGGACTAGGTCACTACAAAAACCTCTGCTTAGACCAGGCTATTGTGCAATGTTCTTCCCGAGCTGACAATCTCCACATGGGGGTGAAATCTGGGGGAAATTCAGTACTTGTTTGGTATCTTCTATCTGGGTTCAGAAGGTGGGTAAACTCTGTGAAGAAAATGCATGTGGGTTCCCTTCAGCTGCATGGCAGAGAGGTTCCTGGGGTAGATGACAAATGGACCACTGGGTCCTCAGAACACTTGTCCGAGGATACACTAAAAATACCTGGTGGGTATCCTTCCAGGCTGTTCCTCCCACATGCTTCTAAAGCCTGAATTTTGGAACCTGCATAGTTCCAATTTGGGATTTCTCTCTCCACCATCCATGGTTCTTCACCTTGTTCCAACTTGTGGATCACAGATGGCTTTGTGGTTTGATATCCCACTGAGATGAGGTTGATATAGTTCTCTAGCATCACATCCCTGTATAGATCCCTCTGGGGAAGGTCCAGATACTGCCACTCCTCCTGGGTGAAATCCACAGCCACATCCTTGAATGATACTGGTCCCTGGGACTTGGTCATTTTCTGCAGCCTTTGGGTGAAGACAGAGATTACTGGGTTGCAGCCGATGGTTTGAAAAGCTGACTTAGAGAGTTGCTGTAAGGGTTAAAGGTTAGATGCCTTTGAAAAAGCAGGTAGCACTCCACCTGGAACATTTCAGACCTTCAGTAAAGCTTGGTTCTCTTTCCACACCCCGGAGGGCGCTCCTCACCTGGGTCATAAATGGTATCTTTTTAAAATCCATTTGCTGGGCGCCTGGGTGGCTCAGTTGGTTAAGCGACTGCCTTCGGCTCAGGTCATGATCCTGGAGTCCTGGGATCGAGTCCCACATCGGGCTCCCTGCTCGGCAGGCAGTCGCCTCTCTCTCTGACCCTCCCCCCTCTCATGCTCTCTATCTCATTCTCTCTCTCAAATAAATAAATAAAATCTTAAAAAAATAAAAAAAAAATAAATAAAATCCATTTGCTAATTATTCATTTCTAATTTATAGAAATATATTGATTTTGATACAATTACATCAAATCTGACAACCCTGCTAGATCAGTTTATTTATTATTAAAAGCAAAGCTTTTTTGAAGATTTGTTAAGCTTTTCTACATAGGCGGTTATGTCATTTACAAATAAAGACAATTTTACTTCTTCATTTCTCATCTGTGTGCTTTTTCTTTCTTTTTCTTGACTATTACACTGGGTAGGACCTCTAATACTGTGTTAAATAGAAGTGGTAAAAGCACACATTCTTCCCTTGCTTCTAGTCTGAAAGAGAAAGAGTTCAGTATTTTCACCATTAAGTGTGATGTTATCTAAAAGTTTTTCATAGGAATTCCTTATCACCTTGAGGGAATTCTTTTCTGTTCTTCATTTGCTGGGAGTTTTTATTATGATTAAATATTAAATTCTGTCAAATGAATTTTCTTGTCAATTATGATTATGTGATTTTCCTGTTTTGTTTAAAATGGTGAATTAACATTCATTGATTTTGTTTTTTAAATGTTAAGCCAACTAGAATCTCTGGATAAATCCCAGATGGACATGATGCATTATTCTTTTTGTATGTGGCAAAATTCTGTTTTTTTGTTAAGGGTTTATATCTGTTTGTGAAGGCAGTTGGTCTGCATTTTTTTTATAATGTCTTTTTGTGACTTTGACTTAAACTGAGTTTGGAAGTGTTCCTTTCTCCTCTTATTCTGACTTTATCTTTCTTCTGTCATATTTGCGGATTTGCATCTTTCATAGAATTTATACATTTCATTTGCCTTTCAGTTTTCTTGGCATAAAGTTGTTTTTATTTATTCTCTATCCTTTTAATAACTGTAGGGTGCTAGTGATAATCCCCTCATTCATTTCTGATACTGTTAACTTACATTTATCTTTTTTTGGAGTTTTTTTTTTTTTTTTTTTAAGATTTTATTTATTTATTTGACGGAGAGAGACGCAGCAAGAGAGGGAGCCTGATGTGGGGCTGGATCCCAGAACCCTGGGAATCATGACCCAAACCAAAGGCAGACACTTAACCAACTGAGCCACCCAAGTGCCCCAATATGTTGTGTTTTCAGTATCTTTTAGTTCAATATAGTTTTTCATTTCCTTGTGAGATCTTATTTGAGCCCTGGGTTATTTAAAATTTCCAAATATTTAGGGATTTTTTTTTCAGGAGTCTTTTTTTTTTTTTTTTACATAGATTTTCTTTATTTCTTTTTGCCACGTATTATAGGCCCTCTGATACTTAAATTCCCCTTTTGGGCATTAAATTTTTTTAATTTTTTTAAATTTATTTATTTTTTTTTGATGTAGTGTTCCATGATTCACTGTTTGCATATAACACCCGGTGCTCCATTCAATACATGCCCTCTTTAATACCCATCACCAGGCTAACCCGTCCCCCCACCCTCCTCCCCTCTAGAACCCTCAGTTTGTTTCTCAGAGTCGACAGTCTCTCATGGTTCATCTCCCCCACCGATTCCCCCCCTTCATTTTTCCATTCCTACTATCCTTTTTTTTTTTAAAAAAAAAAACATATAATGTATTGTTTGTTTCAGAGGTACAGGTCTGTAATTCATCAGTCTTACACAATTCACAGCGCTCACCATAGCACATACCCTCCCCAATGTCTATCACCCAGCCACCGCATCCCTCCCAACCCCCACCACTCCAGCAACCCTCAGTTTGTTTCCCGAGATTAAGAATTTGTCATATCAGTGAGATCATATGATATATATCTTTCTCTGATTGACTTATTTCGCTTAGCATAATACCCTCTAGTTCTATCCACGTTGTTGCAAATGGCAAGATTTCATGGTTTTTGATGGCTGCATAATATTCCATTGTATATATATATACCACATCTTCTTTATCTCTTCATCTATTGATGGACATCTTGGCTCTTTCCATAGTTTGGCTATTGTGGACATTGCTGTTATAAACATTGGGGTGCATGTACTCCTTCGGATCACTACATTAGTATCTTTGGGGTAAATACCCAGTAATGCAATTGTTGGGTAGTACGGTAGCTCTATTTTCAACTTTTTGAGGAACCTCCATACTGTTTTCCAGAGTGATTGCACCAGCTTGCATTCCCACCAACAGTGTAGGACTGTTCCCCTTTCTCCGCATCCCCACCAACATCTGTTGTTTCCTGACTTGTTAATTTTAGCCATTCTGCCTGGTGTGAGGTGGTATCTCATTGAGGTTTTGATTTGGATTTCCCTGATGTCGAGCGATGTTGAGCACTTTTTCATGTGTCTGTTGGCCATTTGGATGTCTTTTTTTTTGGAAAAATGTCTGCTCATGTGTTCTGCCCATTTCTTGATTGGATCATTTGTTCTTTGGGTGTTGAGTTTGATAAGCTCTTTATAGATTTTGGATACTAGCCCTTTATCTGATATGTCATTTGCAAATATCTTCTCCCATTCTGTCAGTTGTCTTTTGGTTTTGTTGACTGTTTCTTTGCTGTGCAAAAGCTTTTTATCTTGATGAAGTCCCAATCGTTCATTTTTGCCCTTGCTTCCCTTGCCTTTGGCAATGTTTCTAGGAAGGAGTTGCTGCGGCTGAGTTTGAAGAGGTTGCTGCCTGTGTTCTCCTTTAGGATTTTGATGGACTCCTGTCTCACATTGAGGTCTTTCAACCATTTTGAGTCTATTTTTGTGTGTGGTGTAAGGAAATGGTCCAGTTTCATTATTTTGCGTGTGGCTGTCCAATTTTCCCAACACCATTTATTGAAGAGACTGTCTTTTTTCCATTGGACATTCTTTCCTGCTTTGTCAAAGATGAGTTGACCATAGAGTTGAGGGTCCATTTCTGGGTTCCCTATTCTGTTCCATTGATCTATGTGTCTGTTTTTGTGCCAGTACCATACTGTCTTGATGATGACAGCTTTGTAATAGAGCTGGAAGTCCGGAATTGTGCTGCCACCTTTGTTTTTCTTTTTCAACATTCCTCTGGCTATTCAGGGTCTTTTCTGGTTCCATACAAATTTTAGGATTATTTGTTCCATTTCTTTAAAAAAAGTGGATGGTATTTTGATGGGGGTTGCATTGAATGTGTAGATTGCTCTAGGTAGCATTGACATCTTCACAATATTCGTTCTTCCAATCCATGAGCAAAGAAGCCTTTCTCAAGAAACAAGAGAGGTCTCAAATACACAACCTAACCCTACACCTAAAGGAGCTTGAGAAAGAACAGCAAATAAAGCCTAAACCCAGCAGGAGAAGGGAAATAATAAAGATCAGAGCGGAAATCAATGAAATAGAAACCAAAAAGAACAGTAGAACAGATCAATGAAACTAGGAGCTGGTTCTTTGATAGAATTAACAAGAATGATAAACCCCTGGCCAGACTTATCAAAAAGAAAAGAGAAATGACCCAGATAAATAAAATCATGAATGAAAGAGGAGAGATCACAAGGAACACCAAAGAAATACAAAAAATTATAAGAACATATTGTGAGCAACTATATGCCAGCAAATTACATAATCTGGAAGAAATGGTTGTATAAACTACTAAACTGAACCAGGAAGAAATAGAAAACCTGAACAGACCCATAACCAGCAAGTAAATTGAAGCAGTAATAAAAAATCTCCCAACAAACAAGAGCTCAGGGCCAGATGGCTTCCCAGGGGAATTCTACCAAACATTTAAAGAATTAATACCTATCCTTCTGAAACTGTTCCAAAAAATAGAAATGGAAGGAAAACTTCCAAACTCGTTTTATGAGGCCACCATTATCTTGATCCCAAAACCAGACAAAGACCCCATCAAAAAGGAGAATTACAGACCAATATCCCTGATGAGCATGGATGCAAAAATTCTCACCAAAATAGTAGCCAATAGGATCCAACAGTACATTAAAAGGATTATTCACTACAACCAAATGGGATTTATTCCTGGGCTGCAAGGTTGGTTCAACGTCTGCAAATCAATCAATGCAATACAATACATTAATAAAAGAAAGAATAAGAACCATATGATCCTCTCAATAGATGCAGAACAAGCCTTTGAGAAAGTACAGCATCCTTTCTTGATCAAAACTCTTCAGAGTATAGGGATACAGGGTACATACCTCAATATCATAAAAGCCACCTATGAAAAACCCACAGTGAATATCATTCTCAATGGGGAAAAACTGACAGCTCTCCCCCTAAGGTCAGGAACATGGCAGGGATGTCCACTATCACCACTGCTATTCAACATAGTATTAGAAGTCCTAGCCACAGCAGTCCGACAACAAAAAGAAATCAAAGGCATCCAAATCGGCAAAGAAGAAGTCAAACTCTCACTCTTTGCAGATGATATGATACTTTATGTGGACAACCCAAAAGACTCCACCCCAAAACTGCTAGAACTCATACAGGAATTCAGTAAAGTGGCAGGATATAAAATCAGTGCACAGAAATCAGTGGCATTCCTATACACCAACAAGACAGAAGAAAGAGAATTTAAGGAGTCGATCCCATTTACAATTGCACCTAAAACCGTAAGATACCTAGGAATAAATCTAGACAAAGAGGCAAAGAATCTGTACT